GTTTACGCTTGAAAATAAGTTGGCAACACTTAAAGATACTACAATTACGATCAGCTGGTGCAGCGTTTCCCATTGCGTTCAACGCTTGCATTTAACCTAACCTAAAAACGTGTTGTATAATGTTTGAAAGACTAATTATTAATTATATGCTTTATGGTAACTGTAGGAAAAATATAATGTGTAATGCTGCACACGAGAGAAATGTTTAAGTGCGAGCCCCATTTATACAAAAAACTATTTTATAAAATGTATGATCTCTCATGCGAAAAAAATCTGTGAATAAAAGAGTTCCACCAACAATTTTTATATATGCTATACTTTGCTGGGCTTATAACATTGGTTCGAATGATATGTGCTACATATCCTTCAAAATGTTTGGAGTCATTGTTTTGTACTGTTATAACAGAAGTGAAGCTGTATACTGTAAGAAACAGCTAGATGTTCTTCCAACGACCTCAAGTCACAACAGTTCATAGCCTCAACCACACATTCCCCGACGTGGCTGACCGTTACATACAAGTGTTGTTGGTGAAATGAAAATTGCAACCCAACAATTGGTCAACTCCTCGTTGGCTATTTCTCCAGGGGAACTAGCGTCATTGTTCCTACAAGCTCTTTTTCGTATGATTATCTTTTGGGCAAGACTTTAAGCAAAAATGCGTTTCGGTAATCAGCAGTTCTGCCTAAATGTACTCTATTCTAGATAATATAGGCATAGCTTCTAGTCATTGATTATAATGTATGGAAAATTCTAGGGAAGCTACTAAAGGAATAAAAGTAATAAACAATTAATTTATGTTGCGTAAGATTGCAAAAATATAAAAACCAATGCTAAATTTATTGCTTTGTAATAATTCCGCGTTTGGAGCCCATCTTGCAATCTTACTGTAGGTCTATATAAAAAAAATAAATAAAATCATATTTGAATCGAAGTAAAATTTTTGTCTGTGAACGATTTCTACACTAAAACCAATGATTTGTCATTCAATCTTAAAATATTTTAGCACGAAACTACAAGAATCCTTTTAACGTAGTCATCACAATCACAGCCACAAAATAAGTTAATTTATTTGTTTAACCATAGACGTAAATAACACAAATTAAACAGTAATATGTGTAATGTAGAAACATACAACAAATTGTTCTTCCTAGAATAGTCTTTGTTGAGGTAGGTCAATTGCTCACTAGGCATTGGCAGTTTTCTTCAATTGCGACTGATCAAACGACACATCACACTGAGAAGTTGATGTGCAATCCAATAAAGTTCATATACTAAGCCTACCTTCTAATTAATATCAATGCGGTTCGTGTAAGGTATTTTTAACCTCTCAATTAGATTGGATACTACTCGAATGTTTTAATTCATTTTTATGAACAACTACAAATATTGTAAAATCTTAAAATGTTTTCTTTGTAATCTTTTTACAATATTTTTTTTTTTACTTTCGTGTAAGACAACGATGAGAAACATATGATCGTAGGCTCAGGTCGTTCCCCTCATATAGGTTAGTTTTGGCAATCAGAATTTACGACTTTTTCCGCACGACACTTTCGCTTGGGAAAGGCCCAATGTTTCTGAGCTTTCACTAGTTGTAATATCCTGCAGAAAGTTAATATTACTTGTTAACATATGTTATGAAACAATTGTATAAACAATCACTGAGTATTCATTGTCTATTAAACAATTAGTTAACCATTACTATAAAATCTTTACGATACGGTACATTATATATTGTACTATAATAATCATCATCAACGGATGTGAGCAGCCAACGGATTTAGATCCTGACATGTATTAAGCTGTTAATTCATAATCTACAGAATGATATAATCAACATTGTTATAATTATGGTAAGTGACTGCACTTCTGAAATCTAATGATGAATACATATTTTAATATAGAGCTATGATATGTTTAAAAATAGTTATCGATTAAGGAATAACTACTTAGGCCTCACTTTGTCAGTCAACAGTTGAAGAATTTAGTACAGACGCATGTTTAAATTTGTACAACTAAAGATGAATTGAGTAGGTCAACAAGGTAGGTTAGTAGAATTATGTAAATTATCATGCATAAGTAGATAGTTTATCCATAGATAACCTAAAAACAGGTGCAGGTAGGTTTAACATTTCTATAATTGGGCATGCGGGCCTGTGAGTGTTTTGGAGTATTTTGGATGGTGCGTACTTATTGTACATAACACTTTTTTGAAATAGTTTTGAATTTATAAATATTTCATTTCTATGTATTACGTTTGCAACAGTTGACAAACAAATGATTCCATTGTTATAAAACTAGAAATTTACAATTATTTTAATTTGTTTATTTTCTATGAAAGTTATCAATCTCTTCCTTCATTTCAAATTACGGGAACAAAACATTATTTAAATTTGTATTATAAGAAAAATAGAAGTACATAAAGATTCGCCAAAACTCAAACTACATTCTACCCAAAATGAGTAGAATAATTCGGACCCATGTCAGAAATTGTCGAGTCAGATCTCACTGTGCCAAAAGAAAAAGCTTCATCTTGGATCGTTTCATACGTACAATATGGTTTGAAACGTATAATGATCTTGATTGATTTATTTAAATACTTTGTGACTTTTTTGTGAATTTTGTACAATTATTTTATTAAATCCATATGGTAATAGCAAATATGAATTAAAACCCAAGAAACCCTTCTCTTAAATATTTTACTTGAAATATTATGTGGTTCTTTGTAAAGTAGGCTTGTTTTAAGGAGCATATATACATAAAACTACAATCATTGTTAATTCAAGATATTGATAGCTGTCCCAAATTAAAACAGTATTGATAAGCCTAAATTGTAAAACCAAAAATATTTCGCAAAAATATTCTGAAATAGTAACAATCTATAGAATCAAAAAGATTTTTAATCACAATAATAACCAACTAACATCCAATCGAGTGGATTATTTCAATTCAGTATGTAAGACATTAAAAACTGAGAAGTGCATGTAGACACAGGAAGCGACTGTATTACATGCTTCACTTACTTTTAATCTTGGTTCACTCGCTTGATCTTTCGGATGTGGATGTGCTTGGATAATGAATAACAATATAAATGAATCTAGTTAAAGATATTACCTTTTATTTTTTTATTTTTTTATTTTTTTTTATACACAATTTACAATAAATTATTGTACAGTCTTTTCTTGAAATCTTTGTAGTACGTCTTCCGATATAACCTTATAAACTTTGTGTAGGTAAAAACACTGATAAGGAGGTTTGCACTGTGATATTTTTATAATTATTTCTCAGTCGACTTTAGCAAAGGAAATTTATATTTTTAATAATTGCCCTGTGCTGTATGTAGCAGCAAACCTAAGTATAAACTAAGTAAAACTAAGGTTATTTTAATATGAAATAATCTGTTATTTTAGGGGAATAATTGTGTGAAAATCCAATCAGGTTAATGGGAATTCGCTTAGTTTGCAGATTTGCTGCGGTGAGGGTATAAAATATAAAATATTTTGTTTTGATTAAATTGGACTCAGTAATTGAAACATTAATAAATTCTTGGTTTTTCAGATTATTATTTTGTTCAAAAGTACAGTACTCTCCTCCTTTGAATTTTCCAAAGTACAGTAGCCTATACTAGTTTCGAAATCTATCTCAATCCTTGGTCGTTATCGTTTCCTTGGACCATAGCATAAATCAACCATAGCATCCTTTCTTTTAATGACATTTCTTGTTAGCGTAATAATTGAAAAGGATCGGGAATTGCACCCAATCTTATGTCAAACTAATTTTAAAAACTGCAGTTGAATAATCTTTTATTGGCATGCATACAATGAAAAACTGCTCTTAGAATTTCAATCTGGAAGAGAACCAATTTACAAGGTTTCAAGTGTTAGACCGTAGACGAGGTCCAGGGCCTGTCTTATTCAACTTGGCCTTAATCAGTCAAATGCAGAGATTTTCTAGAAAATCGATTCAAATAGTCTTTTAAATTAATTTTTGTGATCAGTGATAGTTTCTATGGTTATTGTGTCAGTTATTTGGATACCCTTGATAGAACTTTTTGGTACTTTGGTATTATTACCGATCACACCTAAATTAAACCTATAACTTATAACTTAACCTAACCTAACCTAAGGGTGGTTAGGTTAGGTTAGGTTAATGAGATTTTGTTATTTAAACTAAATAAAATCTTATTTGGAAGTCGATATTCGATGTGGTCGGTATAGTACCAAAGTTTTAAGCATATGTAGTAGTAGGGTAAATATGTGAAATTGACTAAGACACCTGAGAAAAAAACACAATTATAATTTGAATGAAAAAAATATTAATATTATTGCTTCACTGTTTTTTTTTATTTTTTTTTATGAGTTTACACATAAAAAAGTACTTAAGAGCACTTCTCATCCTACGTCATATTAACCCTCTTCATATTCAGAACAAAACACTCCTTACAATCTTTTTCGGGTTATCCTTAATTGTATTAAATTTAAAAGGAAGAACACTCTAAGGGCCATTCAAAAATAACATATACATTTAGTCCACATTAATTCGATCAACGATGCCAACCGGAGTTATAATTGGTAACTTCTTGATTAGCATAGTACGTGTTATTAAATACCTGAAAAATACAGAAATATATTACGTCTAATAACACTTGCAAAACATATTGCAAGTGTTATTAGACGTAATATATTTCTGTATTTTATAATTGGTATCAAATTATTCTATTATTTTACACGCTGCATTGCATCGGTTGGATTTAATCGGAGGTTTGAGAGTTCAAAACTATTTAAAAATTAGTAAAGATTTACAAACCTTCCAACATAGATCGTACACCAAAATAATTTATAGGAATTCACAATTATTCTGGTAGGTTATAATAATTTGTTAGTATAATAATTTTGTTTCGTATTGGTATAAACATTTAATTTCTGTCATGTTGGTATTATATACAAACATATGATTAGTGTCATTTTTTAAAAGCACACTTTCGTTTATTTATGTTTATAGAATAAGTCAACTAGATTTTTGGCAGACTAAACTCTTGTTTCAAAATTCACTGTTAGGTTGAGTTCGTTGGTAAACAGGAATTGAAATGAACAACAAGCAAAATGCCGTTGATACAGCCAGATGTTGACGCCCTCAGTCGGAAGAAGCTTCCCCTGTACGGCCCCTTGGACATTCAGGACTACAAGGAATACTTGATTGAAGAATCAAAAAGGTTTGCGCACTCCTTCTCCAACCCGTTTCCTCGCCAACTGCAAGTAGAGCACTTTACTTTTCTCTACCAGATTGGCGCTGGCGCTTTCGGAACTGTGCTTCTCGTGAGGTACAGGCAGTTTGGAACGTTCTACGCCATGAAAGTGCTGAGCAAGAAGAACCTAGTGGAGCGAAACTATGTCAAGAAGGCTTTGAACGAGAAGCTAATTCTCCAGAGCCTCAATTGTCCTTTCACCATCAGCTTGCTGAACTTCTCCCAGGACAATTCGAACATTTACTTCTTCCTTCCCTTCATCAGCGGAGGAGAACTCTTCGTTCGGATGACTCAATGTGGCAAATTCAGTGATAATGAATCCAAGTTTTACGCTGCTCAAGTAATCTTAACTTTCGAGTATTTGCACAAATGTGGAATCATCTATAGAGACCTTAAGCCTGAGAACATCTTGCTGGATCATTTCGGGTACATCAAACTAACAGACTTCGGTTTGTCAAAATTAGTTCCTCAGAGGACTTACACATTTTGTGGAACTCCTGACTATATAGCACCTGAAATCATATTGGGTCAAGGTTACGGGATGGGTGTGGATTGGTGGGCCTTGGGAGTCTTCATGTATGAAATGTCCTGCGGTAAAACTCCGTTCTTGGGCATCAACGAACACGCCACCTACACAAACATCATTATTGTGAAATACGACATGCCAAAAGATTTCGATAAAGATTTGAAACACTTGATTGAAAACCTGCTGCAAAGCGATGTTACAAAAAGAATTGGGAATTTGAAATCTGGCGTAGAAGACGTGAAGAACCACCCTTGGTTTGGAGAGATAAACTGGCTTGCTCTTCTAAACAGGAAAGTAGCGCCTCCTTTTGTACCGTCTGATACTAAAGAGATATCCAAAAGTGCGTTCCCTGGCATGAAGCAGATTACTGATTGGGAAGTAGCGAAAGAAGACTTGTACAAAGATATTTTTTCGGATTTTTAACCGTCGTAGATGTTCTTGGTATATAGCTACCTACCAACTTTCTCAGCACCTACCATATGAGTAACAAGTACGATAAAATTTATAATTTTTTAGTAATGTTCATCAAGTCGGTTATCAAGTCTAAACACGGTCAACCGTAAACTTAATTCGTGGGAATTGCATTTGTCTGGAGTCTGCGTTGCTTCAAACGTCATATTTATGTTCCATTTATGAAACGACTTCTTTGATGCGGTTTTATAGTTAGTGGTTGAGCTAATATTATACGTGATTTATTTAGGTACTGTGACACTGTTTTATTTAAGTTAAACATTAAATGTAAATTTATCTTCATTTTGATGATCCAGAATCATAAAATTAATTATTTATAATAATTTTTAAACTTATACTTAAATATGTACCCTCTGGAAACGGGTTCATCTTCTTTTTACTCCATGTTTTTACTTTGGATCAATTTGACCCTGAATTCGGAATATTTTTCTCACAACTAATATAAGTATGTAAACATTGATTGTGACAAAAATTCGAAGGAAAGGTTTTGTGGACAAAGTAGCGTACCTAAATTGCATTTGAACGACTAGCCGTAATTATACCCACCTGCCTTAGAATAAATCTTCAACTATTGTAGAGTCGTTAGGTTTTATTTATGCAGTCATTCAGCATCTTATTTGAATACGGATGATTAATTGAGGCAAAAACTTTCCTAATGGACTTAAAAATTTCCTATCTCAATCGTAAAAACTTATTTGTATAGGTTAATAGTTAATTGGTTGATTTACTGCTGTATTTCTGTAAATTAAAACAGTAGCGTTAAATACATTAAATTTACTCTTTGCTTTGTAATTTCATGAACATTTGCGACAAAAATAGATAAATGTTGTTTTGTTTCAGGCTTCACAAGAAAAGAGTGGTCTCAGGAGAAAGGATTCCTTAAAACAGGACATTTTCGAATTCCCACGAGAGCCTACTAGTAGATAGCGAGATCGAATCTTATAGACTCTTTTAACAATTTACTTTTGGTGTGCGTAGTTCAACTTTTTCAAAAATAGGCCTACATTTAAAAACTGAATTAATTCCAAAGTTTATCCAGATTCGTATTGGATTTTTAAGTTGATTGTTTCTCTGCAACAAATATTTATCCTTTTCCTGAATTCACTACAAATTGTTTTGTATTTTCTTTGAATTGCCTCTTTTTAATCCAATAATCCAGAGAAGACGTCTTAAATGAGCCGTCTTTTGAGAGGTGATGGTTTAAATTACAAAAAGCTAGGGGTAACACATTATAAAGACAGATGGTAAAATACAAATAAGTTTTTTTGTCAGAAACTATTATTAGGTAGCAATAAAACCGTTCTATTGGTTTTTGCAATTTTGTTGTTGTTATTATTTTTATAAAATGATATTAATTTGTATCAACGATTATTATTTAACCATATTTTCTGTCTGTTGAATTTTACCTACATCAGCATACGGTACTTAATTGTGCACAATGTATATGTTCCATTGAATGAAGAAAATCCCGAAAATTGTTTGTTTGTTAACTAAGAGTGTGGCCATTTAATTGACAAGTTTACCAATCTCATAACCAAAGATATAAATGAAGAAGGGATGGGAACAGACCATTTAAACTTCATTGGCAGACCAAGTGGTTAAGTCGAAGCAAGTCGAAGTACTCCGATTACCGTCATAGTGTAAGCTCAATACAACTTTTGATATAATTCAGTTAAGTATCAAACTATTTTGTTGATAGCTGAGAAATATCTTGTCGAATCAGTTTTTCATATGTAAATTTTTGGGTAGTAAATAAAACATTTGGAAATTTATACGCAACAAATATCATGTAAAACAGATTTTGATGTAGAACAAAGAGGTAGATGCTAATATGTTGTAAAACTATATTTGTTTAAACAAAATACAGTACGCAAATAAATCTTCGTCTTATCCAACTCTTGTATAAACGTGTTATTTATGAATCTAATGGTTACTATAAAGTAATGTAATACTGTAGAGAGAAAAGAATTTATTTATAAAAATAAACACGTCTACCTTAAAAAATAAGGTTGCCAATGACACAGAAAAAAAACACCTAAAATATTGAAGGATTATAAAAATGATTAATTTTGATGTTTGCCATATAAATGATTTCTCATCTATCTATCTATATCTATACTATTATATAAAAATCTAATGGTGTCTGTATGTGTATTACTAATAGGTGCAAAAACTACTGAACCAACTAAGCTTATATTTTACAAAAATATAGCTAACATACCAAGGACCTTCGATACTGACCGTAGGCTTTGCCCCTTTGGCTTTTACAGTTCTGAGGTGAGGATTTTAAAAGTAAATATTGATTGGTCTCCATGACTGCGATTAGAACACTAACAATGTTTGTTTACATTTGATTCAATTCAATGTAAACAAGAAGAACTGCTAAATTGCATATTTCACAATTTCAGACAGCTGATACAAAGAAGTTAAATATAATATTTTCCATAACCTGGAGGTAGGTTTATTTTAATCTAACCTTTTATCATGGATTATTTATTCTAAAACTGTCAATGATTATAGAAAAAAAATTCTATAACCGTTGCTGTATCAACTCCGGCTCTGCTTTGGATTTTTCGTCTCAGTTATGAAAATAATGTTATTGATATGTTTTCATGGATACAGTATGAAAATTACAATCCCTATAGATGTTTTGTATAAATTTGGAGGCTATTTTAAATAAATTTGAACTGCTTTACATGTGTTAGATTAACTTAACATAACTTGCACATCACATTGTTTTTTATATGTATATTTAGGTAAATTTAGTTATTGTTTTTTGCTAAAACTATGCTTAAATTAAACTAAAAAATATCATCAATAACAAAATTGTACGTCATTGATTTTGTGTTCTAAAATCTGTTGTATATGTGTAACTATATTAAATTATCAAATGGTAATACAAAATACTCTTATTTATCTTAACATAGCTTTCAGTTCATATTTACTTTATTTGATAAATTTATTATTTGTGTTTTGCCACACCACTGATTAAATTAAACCAAGGAAAGTATCATAAAACTAAGCAGTACACAGTGTTCTTTTGTTTATAAAATCAATAAAATATCTGTTACTACCTATGTTTACTTAATGGTAAGTGTGAAAATTTAAAGGCAATGGATGATGGAACTGATTAAAAGAACTGGTTTGTATATTAAGTTGTTTGTTGATATTTTTGTAGAGTAGAATCAGAGATGCAATGAAACATATACTGTATTTGCTATTACATTTTTAGTCCTCGACGCTTTGATAATCATATTAGTTTTGTCTGCTGTCTTTGGTGCTAAATTATTTGTTTAACATTTTTTATAGTATATATATAGTTTCTTTAATATTCCAAAAGACTGTATTGATAAGGCACAAGAATATTTCTAAAGTTTATAACAGCTGACTTAGTTTTGCTAATGATTTATTGTGAGTGAAGAAACTGAAGATTGAAGGATTTGTTATTTATTATGAAGAAGAGTGAAATTTAAAAAAAAATGTCCATTTAAATTTAATAATAAGTATTTTTGCAACTACACAATTGAAATTTAAAATGCCAATTATAAATACAGTAAAAAGATATGTAATTAAGGGAGATGAAGGTAAATCGTATGTGAAAGTTTAATTCGAAAATTTGGTCAGTTTTTCTCATATCAGCCTACACAAGATTTAAAATTAATCAAAACCAAAATAGTGGTATCCACTACTTACGAGATTTAAAAATCATAACTTAAACCTTTCTATTAAGGCCATAAACGTTTAATTTTGTTTCTAAAAGCTTTGGCGGATGTGTAATTACTATATGCAACTGATGTAAAGATTAAAATGTTTCTATTTTGTGTCCTCTTCCCGTTGCAAAGCACGGGTACAACAGCTAGTTAGTTAATGAACCTCTAATTGTTTCATGGATGGTAATTTTCAAAAGGGATCTGTCCAAATCATATTGTTTCCAAAAGTTCACAACAATCACAACAAATTTTGATAATGTTCCTCTATAACCAATAAACAATCCAATTCTCTTCATTTTTGAAACTTTGAAATGTTGCTTGAAATATTCAAAGGTAGATTCAAACCTTTTTTCTTTTCCTTATTCACTTCATTAGGTTGATTTGATATCTAATTGTTGGATCGAGAATCATCGCTTTGTTTGTTTACTCTTCTAGTGCTTCCGTTAGAAGAAAGACAATGCTATGTCAATGCTTCATGCACTTCCCATGTTTTAAATCTTTTTCGGAAGGCGTTTGTTATAAATTTCTTATTTATTTTTGTATTTTATAACGAGGATAATTATTATCAATCAATATGGTTACTAATACATTTTTAATTAAAGCTTTTGTTGTTATAATGATATGGCGTATATCCATAGTTAAAAAAAATGATTCACGACTAGCGTATAGGTCATTTACATACCACCAGCATCGATGGTTCCCAGATGTGCATGAATTCATAGAATCGCATTTTATAATTTTAGTGTTATATATTAAGACTTGTACCAATTTTAACTTTGTATTCCTTATAGTTTGCTTTAAAAATCATGTAATTTACAAGGTTTTCCAGATTCAGTATCCTGTATCCCAAAATGGTGTATTCTTTGATAGAACATCTGTAAGACCGCAAGTACAATACTGACTATTGTAGTATACATTCCTCGTAGATAGAATTGTAGAATTTCGTAGAATAAAAGAGCGTCAGCGGAAGCAATTCGAAAATTATAACAAAAAATTAAATATAATAATGGTAAAATCAACGTCTTACAAAACTCAATTCTGATAGATAAAAAATTACCAAGAAATATGTTTATTCTGTATACTTTTAAAAAGTAAATTGTTTTTGTTATGAACCCTGTTTGTTAGGATACGTGTTTTGACACTATACTCCACTGATTTATTTTCGTTTTATTAAAGTTACTAGTATTTATAAACAATAGAGCTGTTGTTTATAAATGCATTGCACAAGAAAATAAATATAACTTCATATTTGCGCTATTTTTATTTTGACTTTTTCATATATTCCATTTAATATTTTTAAGACAAATTTTTGTTTTGTTATATCACCATAAATTTTGATCTGTAAAATAATAAAAACCACGTACAACAGGCGAAAAGTTGTCAAACTCAAATTGTTTGGAGCAGCGATTAAGTGTTTGCAAAATACTTTCCATCCAAAAATGTGTATAACCTACAACAGATAGGTCTAATTATTATTATTACAAGTATTATTCTATTTTTAAGCCAGTTAAGTATGCATCGCTTAACGAATAAAATTTAAGTTTATTTTTCGTTTCGAATGAGTTATTCGTTTATATTAACTTGCAAAGAAAATAGTAAAGACAGTAAGGGTAAAAAAATATTGCTAAAAGATACGATATATGAATTTGACATAAGATTCAATCCGTGACTTCTTATTTACATTTAGAAACATTTTGAAACAGCAATCACAGTGCTTGAGTTTTGAGTTTTTAATCAATATTATTACTTCCTTTATTTAAAAGCTATATATGGCTGGGAAATCACTATGCACATACAGTATTAATACGGTACTTGCTCCGTTGATCGACGGTGGAAAATCACCATTTCATTCAAATCCCAATCAAAAGAAACGTAGAAATGTAGAGAGCGTTTTCCGTAAGTGTTAAACGACTGTAGGTTTAAATTATAGACTTCATTAATCTACAGGTTTCAGGAAAAATATTGAACGTTTATAATTTCACTAAACAAATTTGAAAATCAAATATTAATGCAGCATATCTTTAAAATTCATTATAGAGCCAAAATATTTGTACCTGAACCTCCTAGGACAAAATTAATTATTTTTGTCCTGTTATTTTAATTATGGTTAAAAATACATTTGACAATATATACAGAATCGTTCTTTTTTATCCAGCTAACAAAAATAATATTTTAAATGAGACTCACTTTTCAAAATAAATAAATTTGCTAAAATTGTTACTAATTATATTTACAAATTTATTAACAGGTGAATTATTTATATAGTAGATAAATATAATTGATTGAGAATGTAAGAAACAAGTATGGTTCTGTATTTTACAGTTTAACCAACCTCATAGAAGTAGAAGGAATTTATGTCAGTTTCGTTGTCGTTGACGCAGACCCAGCCGGAGCAGTTGCGACCCATGACGACGGGCGCGCGTCGCGACGCGGACTGAGAACAGAAGACGCGCCGCGACACTGCGTTGCGTGCGTCGGACTGTACACACGCGTCGCGGCGCAAACTAGCCAAGTGTGGACTGTAGACACTTATCGTGACGCAAACTAGCCAAGATTGGACTGTAGACACGCGTCGCGGCACAAACTAGCCAAGTTTGGACTGTAGACACGCGTCGCGGCGCAAACTAGCCAAGTTTGGACTGTAGACACGCGTCGCGGCACAAACTAGCCAAGTTTGGACTGTAGACACGCGTCGCGGCGCAAACTAGCCAAGTTTGGACTGTAGACACGCGTTGCGGCGCAAACTAGAGAAGTTTGTTCAGTAACCACGCGTCACAACGAAAAATAGCCAAGTTAAGAGTGTAGACACACGTCTCTACGCGAACTAACCAAGTTTGGACTAGCCACGATTAATTTCCGAAACCTAAAACTCATACAGCTGTTCATTTCAAACCTAAAAAGTCATCCAATATGCTGCTTGTGGCAACTATAGTTTCGGTTCACAGGGAACCATCTTCAGGCCGTACAAGGCGTCGTTATTCACTTCCATATATAAATGACGACCTTCATATATGGAAGTGAATAACGACGCCTTGTACGGCCTGAAGATGGTTCCCTGTGAACCGAAACTATAGTTGCCACAAGCAGCATATTGGATTACTGAATGCAGGTATTTAAACCATTATAAATATTCAAACGTGATCCGGAGGCTAACAACTCTTAAAAACTAAAAAGTCAATAATTTAAATGATTTGATTTTTTTTTGTTTTATAGGCCTAACTAAAGAAATTGTATTGATTTTGTGATATACAATTTATTGGAATTTGAACGATAAGTCTGTAGTACTGCAGTTCAAATAGGAGTTTAAACGATAAGTTCGATTTGAAAAATTACCGCCTTGAATTGTTTTGGTTCTAGGTAATAAATTGTGTATACTAAAATTGGTTACAATTAAATTAGTCCAGTCAATGAATGATCCAAAAGTAGGTGTAGAGTGCGTGAGTAGGTAACTAAGCGATTCCTTCAGAAACTTGTTCAGGGGGCTTAGGGTGTTAACATACCAAAAGTCCTGACTCCTAGGTGGTGAGCCAGGGGGTGGAGGGGGGAAAAGGGGGGGAAAAAGGTACGCATTTTAGGTTTTTTGATTATATCTCGAAAACTATCAACTTTTTGTATACTATAGTAAATTATAAAATTGAAGAAGATTAAATTTTCTACAAGAAAAGTATATAATGTGTTTATTTTGGTTCAACAGATTACGAGTTATAACTTATTTAATTGATATCTTATTAAAATCTCCTTCCATAAGAAATACATGTAAATTAGTATGCGAAATGCGGCGAATCCTATCCGCCCAAAGGAAATATAAATGATATCCTGGAAATCTTGACAAAATTTCCAGTAATTTGACACTTCAATCATGAAATTTTGTCAAAAATTAAAGCGAGGGTGAGCGTTTAAAAATGGGATGATTTAAGGTTTTTTTTATATTTCCAATAAAAAAACACCAAAACTCGACATTTTGTTACCTCGCCCTCGCCTTAATTTTGGATCAATTTTAATGATTAAAGTGTCAAATTACTGGAAATTTTGTCAAGATTTCCAGGATATCATTTATATTTCCTTTGGGCGGATAGGATTCGCCGCATTTCGCATACTAATTTACATGTATTTCTTATGGAAGGAAATTTTAATAAGATATCAATTAAATAAGTTATAACTCGTAATCTGTTGAACCAAAATAAACACATTATATACTTTTCTTGTAGAAAATTTAATTTTCTTCAATTTTATAATTTACTATAGTATACAAAAAGTTGATAGTTTTCGAGATATAATCAAAAAACCCAAAATACGTACCTTTCTCCCCCCCTTTTTCCCCCCTCCACCCCCTGGCTCACCACCTAGGAGTCAGGACTTTTGGTATGTTAACACCCTAAGCCCCCTGAACAAGTTTCTGAAGGAATCGCTTAGTTACCTGCTCACGCACTCTATACCTCATTCCTTGACTGGACTAAATATTCCATCAGTTTATTTGTTCATTGATTTATTTAAAGTTAACTTAGTTACCAAATTAAATCCTTGTCAATTAGTGTGATCGTTTGAACTGATTATTTGTTAATAGTCTGTAAACTTTTGGATAGAATGTTTAACTTTTATTTACTATCTGGAAACCTTTGAATTGAATATTCAATGTCATTCATGATGTAGGCCTAGTCATGTTTTAAGTTATTTGTATGGCATTTTTATATTTTTACAAAATCTATTGTAACTCTTTCACTTAATGATTAATAGAGATTTGATTTATTCATAAACTGTGTATTAAGGTTCCATGTTCATCCTAACAGAGCACACACGAACAATATTGCATTTTTTATAAAGAATTCGTCTTGCCAACGCTGTGCCCTTTTTCATTTAAGTTTCACTGTAGATCAAACTGTCGTAAAACACAGATTTCGCGGGATGAAACTGACGAATTTCATCCCGAGACTGTTAGAGGGATGAGGAATTGCTACGAGTCGCCGAGGCGGGCAGATCCGTCCGAAATAAGTGACAGTGAATCAGGCTTAATGGGTGGGTATATTTAGCCGGCCACAGGCTCATTTGTAATGCGGAACTGGGTTATATTAACTGTTCTCTCCTCAAATACGTCACCCAAGGTCCTGCCTGAGTTGGTTCTCACACTTATTTTGTGACATGCATTGTTAAAATGTATAAAGGAACTGGATTATATTAACTGTTCTCTCCTCAAATACGTCACCCAAGGTCCTGCCTGAGTTGGTTCTCACACTTATTTTGTGTCATGCATTGTTAAAATGTATTAATTATCACTAGGTTTTGGTAAGACATTAGATTATGGGAAAGGTACTGTACTTCTCCTTGTTGTGCTTGTTGGGTATAACAATAATAATCCATCCTTCCCAACATGGCTTTATGAAAGGCAAGTCTACTGTCTCCAATCTCCTGCTCTTTCAAGAATATGTCTTGTCTGCCTTTCGCAAGAACTACCAAGTTGATGCAGCCTACATTGATATGGCAAAAGCCTTCGACAAGGTCGACCATACAATTCTTGTGTCTAAGTTGCTGGGCTACGGAGTGGCTGAACCTCTTTTCTAGTTATGGATTTCTAGTTATCTTCAAAAACGTTCTCTTGTCGTGAGGATTGGTTCTACCACTTCCACTCAGTTCTCACCTTCTTCAGGAGTTCCACAAGGTTCTTTGCTGGGACCTTGCCTCTTCAATGTTTTTGTCAATGACCTACTAGACAATTTAACTGTAATGGCCTTACAATTTGCTGACGACCTGAAGATTTTCACTACTGTGTCTACACCAGAAGACTCTCAAGAAATTCAAAATAGCCTTTCTGAAATTGAGGATTGGTGTGTCAGGAATAACATGTCTGTAAATCCCAGTAAGTGCTATTGTATAACCTATCACCGCATCAAATCCCCAGTCATGTACGTATACTCCATTTCTGGTACATCCATTCCACGGTCCCAGTGTATAAAAGACCTAGGCGTTATTTTTTCCAGCGACATGGGATTTTCTGGGCATATAGATCACATCAGTAACAAAGCAAACAAGATGCTTGGTTTCATAGCAAGATTCTCCAGAGGCATCGACAACCCTTCTGCTCTTCGCTCTCTGTATTGTTCCCTTGTGAGACAGCTAGTGGAATATGCAAGTCCCGTGTGGTCGCCTTACACTGTTGGCAATAGGACGAGACTGGAGGCTCTACAAAGGCGTTTTCTTCGTTTGGTTGGTGTCCGGCTGGGTTTTGCCTATCTTGATGTGCCTGTGGAGGAACTGTCCAGCAATCTGAACTTGTCACCTCTTGCCCTGCGACGTGACGTGGCTGATGTTATTCTTCTCTGGAAGATAGTCAATGGTCACATGAACTGTCCAGATCTCCTAGCTGAAATCGACCTCAGAGTGCCTACAAACACAAGATCTCGAGATCTGCTGGGTCGAAGATACCACTCAACCAACTTCGACTTCAACAGTCCTTTCGCAAGATTTACTCGCCTGGGAAATCGAGTTGCGTCTGGGTGTGACCTGTTTTTCGATGGACTTCAGCAGGTTCGTCGGCAGGCCTCCTCTCTTCTTCTTTCTGGGAAAGACTAGTAATTAATTTATTGTTGTTTGTTAACCTTTATTTTCTGTTGTTGCTATGTTAGAGTATTTATTGTTGTTTGTTAATCTTATTTTTTTGTTGTTGTTACGCTTTGGATATTTATAACCTGTTATATCTTTGTTAACTTATATTTATTATCAAATTTTGCTTACCTATTTTGTTGTATTCAACCATCATGTTTATCTTTGTAAATTGGCTGCTGCCGTTGGAAATAAAATAAAATAAAATAAAATAAACAAAAAATATTTTAATAGTTACTGTTACTGTAATACAATAATTAAATAAACGGCATCAGCAATATGACACATACTTTCTCGTTTCTCACATTAGCTTGTGAACAACGTTTGGATGGGAGTAACAGTAACTATGATTTTTATAGGGAAAATCACAAAAGTTGCAATAGCTTTTGAAATGAAATGTTTACAGCAATGGGGGGTTGTACTATTTTGTTAAGAATTATATGGACCATAACAGACGAATTTTAAAGATACCGATTTTTCTTTATTATATGGGTTTTTATGGGGAAATAACATAAGTTACAATAACTTTTGAACTGTAATTTTTACAAAAATGGGAGTTGTGCCATTTTGTTTAGAATTAAAAGGACTATAACATTATAAAATTATATCAAAATTGTTTGGGCCCTAGCGTTTAGACAGCTGAAGATGTACGGGCCGGATTTTTACCCCCGTAATTTTACCCCCGGATTTTTACCCCCTGGCCCATTTTAGAAATTGAATGTTTGATTTTCTTAATTCTGTTTTTAATTAATTGTTAACATTTCATTATTTAGTAGCCTATCTTTATTAATTTATTTTGTAAAGAAATGTTCGAAACAATTATCATTCAGTTGATTGTTTATACGTCATATTAACCAACTGTTAGCTTCAAAGATCAAATCCTAATCCTAGAATCTCAAAATTAAAATTAAAAACCATTTTGGTTGGTTAATGTTACAAATAAATTAATATATGCTACTTAATAATAAAATGTTTACTATTAAATTAAAACAGAATGAAGATAATTAATCATTCTCACTAATTTATATATCTGGCCAGGTGGTAAAATTCCGGGGTTAAAAATCCGGGGGGTAAAATTCCGGGGGTAAAAATCCGGGGGTAAAATTCCGGGGGTAAAAATCCGGGCCGTACACTCTAGGTTTTTATAATTTGATATGTTCTGATTAAATTCACAACCGTGAAAATATATGTTTAATTCCGCGTTTAATCCATCGAGCTGATGTCGCGAAACTCAAAAGTTCACGGCCGGAATTTTACTCCCTGGTTTGTGACGTCACGTTTGCCCAGAGGGTAAAATTCCAGGGGGATAAAAATCCGCTACCCCTGGTGATGTCTTTGTGACTGGGGGTGGTCAATAAGTTATTGGCGCGATCACGAGATGAGATGGGGATTTCTTTCCCGACCGCTGGGAAATGTAGAGATTTTAAATACCACAATCTAAAGAGCTGATGATGATGTCTTCACGACTACAGGTGAGTGTGTATGTCTTACGCAGTAGGCTACTTTTTTAAGTATTCTTAATATTTTATGAAACTGTAAATTTTGTTGTAGCCTAATAAAGTTGATTTTGATTTGATTTACCCTGATCATGTGAGGCGATGGTAATGTCTTTGGCCTTCGTGACCACTGGGGAGTGTCAAGATATTGCCACATCACGGAAGCGATAATGGTGTCTTTTCGTCTGCGGGAGAACATATAGATATTACCGTGATCACAGTTGACTATTGATGTCTTTGTAGTCATGTGAATGAAAGATGCTCTTAATTTTGACTCGATCGCGGGATATGATCAAACTTTTGCCAAGATCTAGATTGTACCACGATCACGGATTATTGTCGAGACAACATCTGATGCTGGCAAAAATTTACCGTAGTTTTAGAGAAGAGATTCAGAGGAAATAGTTAAATTTTCTCTGTCCACACAGCAGCTACCTGGTCCTGCGTTCCTCCGTTTTCGGCTGTTTCATAATTTCTGGTTTCTCTGAACAGACATTCAGACATTCTCTGATTCTCTTTAATAAGCATAAGCTAAGAAAAATCCTAAATGTGGTTCAATACCTACCTTATGTTGATGTGGCAATGTTTTTTATCCAGTTATACTAATAAATAATTTGGTTGCAAATAGAAATTCATAAAAGCAAAGTACAACTCAGATCAACCTGGTGGTTTTGCTTCAAATTACGTGAAAGAAGATTGTCTATTGGATTTAAGAAGATTGTTAATTACGCCTATTTGGATTGTATCAATGTGAAAATTTTAATTGAGTGAGTATTGAAAACCTGTTAGAGAACCATATTTTTAATTAATCTATATTGCGAGTGCTATAATGATAGAAGTCATAAAATATTGTTTTCAAATTTTTTCATTTACATGTATATCAGATAATTTATGATTAACAAGGACAGCTGTAATCTTGATTTCAAACTGTCGTAAGTCCACACTTTTGGGATTTTATTTCAAGGCAAGGACCAAATATTGTTAAGTGTTACAATAGAAACTTAAATTAAACATACTCCCTAGACGCTTTACTTCTAGGTTCATGAGTGAATTGAAGCTTGGCTTAGAATCCACATAGTTAACTATTAATTATTTTTGTATGACAATTTAGAATAAAATTTTCAGTAAGTAAACAAAAAATACATCTAAAAACACTTCAAACATAAATTTACACTTATACTGTTAACTCACAAGACGGTAGATATACATAAAAGATGGTAAGTGGTAATCGATTACGATTGGACGTCATTCACTTATTAGGTCTGATAGATGATGATTGTCCAATCTAAATTCATCTCCACTTACCATCTTTTATGTATATACCGTCTTGGGAGTTAACAGTATGAGTGTAAATATATGTTTTAAGTCTTACTATACAGATTTTTAATTTAATAACGAAAAAAAAATTGAATAACACATACAATGCTGATCAAGAAATTATTTAAAAGGAGCAGAACACTTTTATAGTTGTAGGTTTGCCAATTTTAATCAGGTGTGACTAGAGGCTGGGACGAGTAAATCAAAAAGGAATGTGGTTGAGTCGGAGCCAAGTGATTCAAACAATGCGGCTCAAATTATTCTTTCAGTGTTCTTTTTTAAGAATTGCAGAACTATAAATTGTGATCATTGTAACACTGCAGTTCAATGCGCTCAACAAGCTTTTAGGTACTTTGAAGTTTATTAAAGTAAGCTTCAGTAATATTGAAAATGGTTGCTTCCAAAATAAGGCTTTCAGGCTATGTACGTTTAACTTTATTGAAATAAGATTCACACATGTAATATTATAAAAAGGTTCTCGTTACAAAGTAGTATTCATTTTGCTTAATCCTACATAAAAACGAACACAATGAATACCCTTAACACTATACCTAATATCATCATTTCTTTTTTGAAAATTCAATGACACAGTACAAAAGAGAAACTTCCATTTTGGTTTCATGAACATTAATCTCTTCTAGAGATAAATTAAACAGTTGATTGTAAACTACTAAACATTACCTACTTAACAGTGAATCGACACAAGCACAGTTGCATCACAAGTTTCTTGGTTGAAAACTTGTTCCACAAAATAAAAGATAATAAAACCATATGATGAAATCAAAGGTACCTACCGGTAACAATCTTACAATATTACCCTATACCTAGTTTTTTACTGCATAACTTTTTTGCCAGAGTAAGGGGCAAGATAACATGACTGCACCTTTTAATATTAACCATACCATGAAATCGAAGGTAACAATCTTACAAGATGCTATTATTAGCCTATATTATTTTTTTTAGTGCATAACCTTTTTGCCAGAGTAAGGGGCAAGATAACATGACTGCACCTTTTAATATTAAACATACCATGAAATCGAAGGTAACAATCTTACAAGATGCTATTATTAGCCTATATTATTTTTTTAGTGCATAACCTTTTTGCCAGAGTAAGGGGCAAGATAACATGACTGCACTTTTTAACTGGTCTGTTAATGTTAAAGTTGTAAGATAATAATGAAGAGACTGCTTGCGACTTAACAGAGCTAACACAAGGTTTCACCAGTTTTGTGCATTTATAGATTTACAAATCCTCCTTGATTATTTTGAAATTGTAGTTTACTCCAGCATAGAACTGACTGAAAGAAGCTGCGAATGTTTTAGGTAGACAGAACGTTTCTTTATCTTTAAACAAATGCTCTGGGTCAAACTTGTCAATGTGAATAGGGGTTTTGGCAGAAAAACTACGTTCAGGGGTATAAAAATTGACAATTACCGAAAACTTCACTTTCGGTTTTTCCATTGGAACGTACTGATACAACTGGAGCACCCGATTTCTTCCACACTTTGTATGCTGCCAGATAATATTGTTGAATGCGACAATAGCTGCAAAACCTTTTCTTTCAATACTGGCATCAAAACCTATCATAATGCTGTTGTGGGAAGCTGTTCGTATAATATTCTTACCATGCGTATCCTCAAGATGACGAAGCAAATCTTTGGCCATCCACTTTGTACCACAAGATGGGAAGCGGCAAGAAACGTTACGGAAACGACAAAACATCTCGTGGTCCTGGTCACTAGCTAGGGCCATGTGTTCACAACCTTTGTTACTGTAGTTGCATTTTCTCGGGAGCAATTTGATTATGCTGTTGAGCATGACAGGTTTGCAGTTCGGAATGAAGGAGTCGCATAGCGGACACACTTTGTGGCATTTGTTCCTGCAGTTGGAGCAAATGCCATGGCCGCTGGCACAGCTCCTGGCAGACACCAATAGTTTGTGGCATGAGCAGCACTGGGCTGTTTGCTGGATCCCTTTCAATGCCTCCAGAAGCTCAGAGCTATCGTACGGAGTCTGCAACAGATAGGTCAATTCATAAAATTGTAGGCCTATAGCTTTAAGACATTGTTGTGATAATCTCAGTGGTGTATTCTAGCTTTACAAGGTTAGTGCTCCAAATACAAAATTCAAAGTAGAATAATTTTCAAACAGTTTAGTTTACCTATTGGTTTGGGTTCTCATCAATTTGACTTCCAACCTTGTTGGTTAAACAACATCTCCTACCACCAGCTCGAGTGGCTCTTTACTTGATGACTCCACATCAACAAGAACTTGTCAACGTTTGTCACAGGAGAATAACTTTATTGATATTTGCAATACTCAGGCTGCTACAACTCCTTTCATTATTGCTAAACCTCTACAACTTCTGCTACTTTGCAGCTTAAACTTAACGCCATAGGCTATGCTAAAACAATTACTGTCTGCGCTTGGAGCGTGTTAGTGATGGTTGCTTAGTAATACTGCCGCTATAGTGTTCCAAAACATCGTGTTGTGTGACGTGTCTCGGCAGATTTAGTAAATCGGCTCAGTAGGCTCGGCCCAGAAGCGGAAGAAGTTTCAGTTTTTTTGGAGGAAGAGAAAAAATCCCTGCCAATGAAGGGAAGGGGGCGCACACATCTTTTGATATCATGGCACGTGCTACATGCAAACCATGGTCCTGTGGCTCTTCGCAACAGCTATCAAATGTGTGAATTTTGTATGTTTCAGATCTCTGATTGGTTCACTTTGTAAACTTGTCTAAAGCTTATCGACAATTCCCCATAAAAATACCTAGGCTTGTAAAATTGGGGCTTCAAGGTCATTGATGAGGACAGCTTTCACTTAGGCTATATTAATAAGTTTGTTTTCATATTCAATTTGGTCTATTTGCTTACTGATCAGGCTTGTCTAATATAAACATATCTTCAAGTTATAATCTATTCAATAAGATGAGCCAATGCTCCAACATACGCTCTTGGCTTATTACAGCCTGCTTCAACATTTATTTTTAGAGTGTAAAAAGTCATGTGAAATGCAGTCACATGTAAACCCGAATTAGTTTACAAAACAATTCTCACAGCTACAACAGGAGGTAGCTTATATTTTGTTTTGCTGATCTTACTAAACTAAGTTATACATTTACAGAAGAACCTGTGTAAAATCTGCACAAACTACAACTCAACGTTCTGTACCCACGAGCACCTCTCTCAGCTTCCACATGCACAGAAGGCCGTGGAACAGTTCCTGGGATAGCAGCTATTTGTGTAATAGCTTCACTGTATATCTTTATTGGATCTGTTTAGATAGCTGTTTCTTTCAGCAGTTGAAGTTGCGAACTCTGCATTGACTGCATTAAGATTTTGTAAAAGTAAAGGTGTTTATTATTTACTGTTTGTTTGCTTTTGACTTGAGCTGCTTGAAAATGTGTTATGATTATGAAAATTAAAATGTTGTGAGTGTGCTGAAGCTGATTTGTTATTAGGTATTGACAATTTAATGTTTTGCGTGCATGAATTATTTATGAAGTTTTAAATGTTCACTTAAACTGTATTTTTCGGATTCCTCAAGAAGAGAGGTTAGGTTACGTTGGGTTGGGTTTGTGTGTGAATTTTTTAGATTGCAGTTTTGGTGTTGGTAGTGGTGGGTCTGTTGTGACTTTGAATTAGAGTTCATAATAAGCACACATTTGAAGAAACTCTTTTGTTGAAAATTGTTATGATTAACTATAATAAAGTAAACTGTAAAATGTAAACATTGAAAAACAATTATCATCTGTCTTGACCTTATTTGAATTATTAACTAAATCATATGAAGTCAAGATAGACTAAAGGATATGACAGTCTTCCCCACTAATTAAGAACAATCTTTTTCAATCAAATCTGGTAGTCTCTAAATCTTGGGGGCATGTGACGCTTACGCTGTGGTCTGGCGTTGGTATTATCAGCTTGCTCACGATGTGGTATGACATTCTCAGCTTGAGCTCTTTCTGCTGGAGATTGTTCTTCTGGTTGCCTTGGTTCTGGAGCTGCAACTGGATCTGGATTCCTATGTATTTCTGGTCGTCTTGGAATTCTGGGAACATCAAACAACTGCGTTGGTCCGAATGTAACATTTTTCGTTTTTGGACTCTGTACCAGCGTTGGGCGTAGTTGATTGATGTGCCTCTTCAGGATTCTATCAGATGAGTCGAGAACTACGAGATAGTGTCTTTTCCCAAGCCTCTTCTTTACTTGACCAAACTGCCATATGTTTTTATTATTGATGAAAAGTTTGACCTGTACCCTCTCCCCCACATATAGTGAACGTGCAGGTGAAGACTGTGTAGTTGAAGGTTGAGGTTTGTACGGGAAAATGGCATTTAGTCTTATCCTAATTTTTCTGTGCAGGTAGAGTTCCGCCGGGGACTGACCACAAGCTAGCGGTGTTGCTCTGTACCTTTGTAAAATATTTTGAATTTTGGTTTGGATTGGAGTTTGGTCAGTTGAGACTGCTTTCAGGCGATTCTTTAGTGTTTGGATTGATCTCTCGGCTAAACCGTTTGTTGCCGGATGCCCTGGAGCGATGAATTTCTGGAAAATACCGTTTGTTTTGCAGTAATTTTGAAAAATATCACTTTTGAAAATGGTAGCATTATCTGAAACGAGTACTTGAGGATATCCATGACATGAGAAAATTCCTTCTAAAAGATTAATTGTGTTCGCACTAGTAGGTGAGTCTTTGATGATTTTCACCTCCGCCCATTTAGATTTTGCATCAATACACATGAGAAAATATGTATTATCAAGCGGTCCTGCATAGTCGATATGAACCCTTTCCCAATTCTCTTGTGGTGTATCCCAGGGATGTACTGGAACTTTGGGAGGGCTGTGACGTGTGAGAGCACATTTTTCACATCCTTTGACAATACGTTCTATTTCTTTGTCGATACTGGGCCAGTAGACGTAGCGGCGGGCCAGCTGTTTCATTTTTGTTATACCTAGGTGGGTATAATGAAGTTCATTTAAGATTGATGGTTGTAAGCTTCTTGGAATAATTACACGATCTTGGCGAAATAAAATCCCGTCAACCAATGTATATTCTGTTTCATCAGACTTGTTTTTTAGATCTTTTACAATTCTTGATAAGTCTGGATCCTTTTCTGTTTCACTCCTTATTGTTGAAGCGGTTATGTGTTCATCTGACATCTCGAAAATCATTTGTTCGTATACTTGGTTGACTTCATTGGCAATGATTTCATCAACAGTCGAATTTACTTGCTGAAGTGGAGCTCTTGAGAGGCAGTCAACATTTTCATTTTCCTTGCCAGGTTTGAATTTTAATGTGTAGTTGAACCCGGATAAGTAAGATGCATATCGGAGTAAACGTCCTGATGTCATTTGAGGGAGTGCTTTGTTGTGCTGGAAAATCCGTGAAATGGGTGCATTGTCAGTTACTAGTGTGAAGTGAGTCCCAAAAAGGTAATAGTAGAAATGTGACACGCCAAAAATAATAGCGAGGCTTTCACGGTCTAATTGACTGTAATTTCTTTCAGAAACTGTAAGAGAACGAGAAGCATATGCAATGGGCTTTTCTTCTCCTTCTGTGACATGACTAAGCACGGCTGCAAGTCCTGTAGGGCTGGCGTCTGTAGTTAGTACTAGAGGGAGAGCCGGATCGAAAGGTACGAGAACTCGATCACTGCAGAGCTCTGATTTGATTTGTAAAAATGCTGCTTCACAGGATGAATTCCATTCCCATTTCATATTTTTCTGTAACAGACGTCGCAGAGGATATGTGATAGTTGAAGCATCAGGGATGAAACGTGAGTAGTACGACACAAGTCCGAGAAGACGTTTGACCTCTTCAGTATTGGACGGGCGAGGCATCTGTTGGACTGCTTGAATTTTCGTTGGAGATTTACTAATTTTGTTGAACTCTACGACTCGTCCTAAATACTCAATTTTTTCTTGAAAAAATGAGCATTTGTTTCTGTTGACATGTAAATTGTAATCAGAGAGTCTCTGTAGACAGGCTTGTAAATTTTCACTGCATTCTTCAATGGTCGAACCATGCACAATAATGTCATCAAAATATGCGTCTGTCTTACGTAACCCCTTTAAGATCTGAGAGAGTATGCGGTTGAATTCTGATGGTGCAGTTTTGATGCCAAAACTGAGTCTATGTACTCTATAAGTACCTCTGTGAGTCGTCATTGTCTGTATCATGCTAGATTCTTCATCCACCTGGAGATGTAAATAGGCTTTGTAGAGGTCAAGTTTGCAAAAGTATTTTGAATTGCGCAAACTGTCAATAACATCATCAATACGCCTTATAGGATGATTTGCTTGAATTAGACGCTCGTTGACACCGCATTTGTAATCGACGCAGAGGCGGACACCACCGTCTGGTTTAGGAATGACAACCAGTGGCGATCCCCAATCGCTGGCCTCCACGGGTGAAATGATCCCTTCATTTTCCAGTGTGTCCAATTCCTTGTTCAATCGGTCGGTTAAAGCATGTGGGACATTTCGTTCCTTAACAAAAATAGGTTTTGCACCATTTCGAAGCTGTAATGACACTTTGAAGTCTGGAACGCATCCAATTTTCTCTTCAAAATGGTGGAAAAAGACTGAAAGATTTCTTCAGGAGACTGGATTCTTTTGATTTGGGAAATTTGAGTGCTTTGATTTGTGTCTTCATTCAATTTGTTCAGTTCGATTCCTAGGGCTCTTATCCATTGACGTCCCAAGAGTGCTTCGTGTCCTGTTGGAACAATGTGGAGTTCCTCTTTGACGCAACGTCCACAGTAAGTAACATTTATTTTCACTTTCCCTTCAGGTTTGATAATATTACCTGAGTAAGTTCTGAAAGCAATGTTAGTTGTTTCCAATGGAATGTCCAATTTGAGTTTGTCGAAATCATTTTTAGCTAGAAGTGAGAATTTTGCTCCTGTGTCTACTTCGAATTGTTGTGGTTTACCATTGAGATTAACTGTGATCATGTATTTGTCTGAATCGTTATTTACTTTCAAACTTTGGGCTTGAATTGACATTAGTTACTTTATTTAGTCCGTAATCAGAAAATTTCGATGTAGACTCTGTAGGAGAACAGCACTGGATGTAGTTGGCTGCACTGGGAGAATTGATTTTCTTCTGTTCTGCGATAAGGGTCGAAATGCACACTTTAGATATGTGTCCTTGCTTGTTACATTTGTTGCACTTGAGCTTAGATTTGTCGGTGCGGCACTCGGATGCTTGGTGATTGTCTTTTCCACACCTGAAGCAAAGATTACCAATTCCAAGAGATTTCAGATCTGGACGTTTTCGAGAGCGTGAGGAGTGACCCTGTTGCTGTCTGGAAGGTTGATTACCGGTTTGGAATTGAGATTTCCTTGCTTTATGTGAAACTTTATTCACATCGTAACATATATTGAAATTTGCATTACTTGAATGTGAACGTTTAGACAGTTCCCTGGATTCAATTTTTGATGCTTCGAGGGTGATTGCTCTGGTAAGGATTCCTTCAAAAGTAGTTTCAGTTGACTGTAGAATTTGTTCTCGTAGCCAGTCATCTCGCAAACCTCGAATAAACTGGGCTCTCAGGAAAACTTCGGCAATTGAAACTGTCTGGTCACATGAACACTTGACAGAAAATTCACACTCAGCAATATCACGTTGTAGGGAAGCCACGAATTCTGTTATTGATTGGTGTTCTTTTTGAAATACATTTAGAAAATAGTGTTGAGATACTACAACGTTCTTCTTAGGAATCAATAACTGCTTGAATGCTGTGATAAGCTCATCATAGTTGAGACTTTTCAATTGTTTCTCGGGGCCTAGAAAAGAATTAAGATTGTTATAATGATCACTGCCGATAGAGATGCACAGTAGCTGTCCAATCTTAGTTGAGTCTGTTAGGCCTTTCATGGTGTAATAGTTTTCAAAACGTTCTAGGTAACATGTAAATTTTTCTTTCTTTGGATCATAGTTTTCAAAAGGAGCCACATTTGAGTAGTTGACCCGAGGTATCTCATTCTGTTGATCATTCTGTTTTAAGACAGTTTCTAATACTTCTTTAATAAACTTGTTCTGGTTTTCTTGCTGTTGTCTTTGTTGTTCTTGAAAGATAGTAAGGAATTGATTGAACTGATCTGCATTCATTTTGAATACAAAATAATTTGAACACAAATTCTGAAAAATTTAGTAATCTTACATGTAATAATTCTGTTTTTCCTTCGTCGCCAAATAATTGTTGTGACTTTGAATTAGAGTTCATAATAAGCACACATTTGAAGAAACTCTTTTATTGAAAATTGTTATGATTAACTATAATAAAGTAAACTGTAAAATGTAAACATTGAAAAACAATTATCATCTGTCTTGACCTTATTTGAATTATTAACTAAATCATATGAAGTCAAGATAGGCTAAAGGATATGACAGTGTCTAAGGTAAACTTGGGCCTACTCTTATAAATAGATAAGTTATTAATTTAACTTTTTCAAAGGCAATAAATTATACCTAAACTCAACTGAAAGGCCCAACTAACTTAATTAAAATTAACCTAGACCTACCACTACCAAAACTGCAATCTAACAAATTCACACACAACTCAACCTAACCTATTAACAATCACTCTTGAGGAATCTGAAAAATATAGGTTTGAGTGAACATTTAAAACTTCATAAGTAATTCATGCATGCAATACATTTAATTGTCAATACCTAATAACAAATCAGCTTCAGCACACTCACAGCACTTTAATTTTCATAACCATAAAACACCTTTAGAAGCAGCTCAATTCAAAAGTAAACAAACGGTAAAGAATAAACACCTTTACCTTTACAAAATAATAATGCAGTCAATGCAGAGTTCGCAACTGCAACTGCTGAAAGAAACAGCTATCTAGGTCCAATAAAGATATACAGTGAAGCTATTACACAAATAGCTGTTATCCCAGGAACTGTTCCAAGGCCTTCTGTGCATGTGGACGCTTAATGTGCTCGTGGGTACAGAACGTCGAGTCAAATTACACACTTACAGGTGGAGAGTTGGTCACAATTTTGGGAGGCCGGGGCTCTTTGTGTCGTCCAATCGTTGTAGATGGTGGCTGTACTGAAGATGAATTATGAACATTGGGAGGTGGTCTACATCCGGAACTCTTGGGTGGTTGACGTCCTCTTCCGCCTCCTCGGGAAAAATGTGGTCTCGGAGGAACTTGCACCGGTACCTGGTTTAAAGTAAACTTAAGCATAACATTCGAGATGAAGGAGGTGTTAGATCTAAGCTAATAGGCTTCAGAGGAATGAAGTAGTAAGACAAACTAAATAACTACAAGTAAACACGTTGCTCGAAATCGAGCAATTGCAAAGAAGTAAAGTAGCCTAGTTATTTAAAAACAAATAAAAGTCATCATAATTTCTGATGAGTTTAAAAGACTTAGAATTGAAAAATAAATAACAGGAAATAAATAGGCCTACAGCTGATCAAAATTTAAACAATTATGTTCTTCATAAGGATAACATGGGAACTTTAACAGCCACTGGGGCAGAGCCCAAGGGACTTTTTCAAAAATATAAGGCCAGTTTGCAAATTTACGCGACACGCTCTTTCCAATGAGACGTCAATGGATAAAATCGGTTAAGAAATGGCGGAGGAGTTCAACTGACAAAGTTTCATGTAGCGTATTAATTATATAGATAAAATTCCAAAGTTGCAACTATAAAATTGTTTCAGAACTGTACCTAACTTACCCAGCCTAGTAGGCCTACCAGGTTGGTAAGTGACGGCTTTGGCACAATTTTATGTGGAGAGAAGTTCTTTTTTATCTGGGTTTTTGTCCAAAGTTTGTGTAATGTTTATCAATTCGACAATATCTCAAGTAAGAGATGAAAGAGTAACAGTTTTAAAAACGTTTGCTGCGGCCCGCCAAATGGCAGGCTAGCCCCAGTGCGGCGCAGCGTCAAGCGAACCCATTTGACAGACAAATATTTCGGTCTGACGAGTAGCAAATAACGCGCAGTGATGTGATGCATTACTACGAGGGTCAACGTACTTCCTTCAAACACCCACAGATAGCAGCACTGCTTGGAACGGTAGCCGGTCCCATTGTATTGACAATTGGAGGGAAAAACACAAGAGAAAAAGTAGATTTCTAAGCTTGCCAGAAGTAAGGTACGGCACCCGTTCTTCCCGTTGTGCTGCTGCGCAGGAATTGAATGGAATCTTGATGATGCCAGCACTCACCGGTGAGCGTTAGTAGAAAAGGACTGATGATAACATTACATCGTTGAAACCTAGGTCTCTAAAATAAACAAATCAGATTGTAAGCTTAATCCTTAAGATTTTAACAATTGTATGGTTTATGCCACTGTTATTTGGCTAAAAGGTCTATAAGATTTTAGAAAAAAACCACACTGCATTACTATAACTTTTGTCATAGGATGTATAAAAAGTTGAAACTAAGTAGGGACTAGCCTAACTTATTTTAAATCAATGAACATTAATTAAAAATTACTGACAAAGAGTAAAAGTTAAGGTAACATGTTCTGAATAAAGTGTAATGATACTAACCCTATGTTCACTCATTTTGTATCCATCCACGATTCCCCTGCTAAACTTACTGCTTGGAAAATAACAGAATGTCGAAAATCTTGAGACTCAAAAGAACGTGATGGATGAAAGTGTTTGTGAATAAAAAAATAGTTTTAACACTTCTAGCATACGCAAATCAGCTATACTGTACTTCTCACTACCTTTTAGTTGTTAAACAATAGCACGGAACTAGAAACTAACAAGAACAAGTAAACCGCTTGACTAATTTTGTAGGTACTTGACTTCCTACATTATCTTTAGCAGAGTCGAAAAGAGGCAATTTTGTAGGTATAGCTGTTTTCAGTGTTTTGAAAATGTTGCCTATGCCTATGTCATCATTCGTCAATCGTCAATGGTAATGGTAGTCATTGTTTGTGATAGTCAAGAAGGCGGTGACCGGCTGATGCTGATACACGGCTCTCCAAAGCACTTTTCCAAACTCCACCAAATCTGACAACTGCAAACAAAACTGATAGGAGTTATCATAAGCAAATATGCCATATCATTGAGATTATTAGTCATAAGAAAGAAAAACTTATTTATTTATTGATTTTGTGCTGTCAGTACTAGGTGTTTGGTCTCAGTTCGCCGGATGATGTTACAGTATATAAATCATGTTTTAATTTTATTAAATCATAGATTATGATACAAAAAAGGGAATAAACTTTTAATGATCAATACAATACTTTATGAGAATCTAATTCATTTAGAACATGACGTTACAAGAAATATTCTTGCGTATTTCCTTTCTTTCTACTTTTTCCCATGTACGGTTCTTGTTTCTTGATTATGCTAGTACAGTAGTAGACTCATTCCATCGAAAATTTGAAAATGGCTCAATCACCAAGCCTCGATAATTCTTACTTTCGGCAACGCTACATAAGCACGGCCACCTTAACTCCGGAGTTAAAGGCGGTCGTGTGCATAAGTCAACTCAAGCCGAGATAAATTTCTCTGATTTCCCAAGTCAACCAGGTCCACCACAGCCTGGTCTAGGACTCTAGGATGCATACTCGGCTACCGGTACCAAAAGGAAATTCATTAATTTATATTTCCTAATTATATCTATTAGTTAATCATAAGTGAAATCAATAAAATACGTACTATTTCTATTTTTATTTGACCAGTGGTCGCTTACAAACTACTCAGTAGCATAGGTCCCTCTTACTTTAAGGCTATATAGTACAATTTACGGGCAGCTTTACAGAGTAAATCAGTCACCCAGGACCCACCATCCATAACAGTTGCAGAGAACTAAACTAACAAAATATGAATTAACTGATGAAATACACTAAATAATTTCCTAGCAATAAAGAATGGATAGCAGTTAATGAATGGATGTTTAGTTTTACGACAATGCATGTTGCCGTACTTTATAGATCGGCTACAGTTAAGTTTGTAAAATGTTTTAAGCTAGATGTTTCATGTATGATTAATGCCATAGATAAAACCATAGATAAAACATACTCCCTTAGTAGATTTCTCATCCTTATGGAACAGCTGAAGTCAATTTTATTGTTAGTTCATGTACGGTTTATGTAGAGGTCGTGTTTTGTTTACAATTTGTTTCCCGTTATTACACCCATTTAAAACCTCGTTTAACCAAATAATACGATCTAATCATAAACAATAACTTGTCCGCTAGTTATGTAACCAAACAGTAAAGCAGAAATCAAGAAATTAACCCTAAAATAATGGAAACAAAGTTTCATCGACACTAGCGCCTTTGTGTCACGTACATGAACTAGACACGAAAAACGTGCTTCAAAATTTACAATGGGATGAGAAGTCTACTTGTGTTGGTTAGTCTATGATAAAACATACTCCCTTAGTAGATTTCTCATCCTTAAGGAACAGCTGAAGACAATTTTATTGTTAGTTCTGTACGGCTTTGTGTAGAGGTCGTGTTTTGTTTACAACTTGTTTCCCGTTATTACAGCCATTTAAAACCTCGTTTAACCAAATAATACGATCTAATCATAAACAATAACCTGTCCCCTAGCTATATAACCAAACAGTAAAGCACAAATCAAGAAATTAACCCTAAAATAATAGAAACAAAGTTTTGTCGACACTAGCGCCCATGTGTCACGTACATGAACTAAAAACGTGCTTCAAAGTTAACAATGGGATGAGAAGTCTACTTGTGTTGGTTAGTCTATGTTAATGCCTACCGAATACTCTAAATTCTTATCCGTGTTAATAATTTGTTGCCTTCAACAAATCATAGCATAGTAACACATCCATAGAATTACTATCATATCATTTACTATCATAAAGAATTTATAATAGACAGTAAATTAATTATTTTATATATTAAATTAAGCATTACGTTTTGTAGAGTTGGCCAACTCGTTTTCCATTTTAGCAATCTCTGTCGTCGTCTGCCACTACCAGCACAAAACAAACTGCTGCATCTGTCATTCATGAAGGTGTTTTGTTTTAGTTACCAGACAAAATTAAAATACCCTGCAGCCTAATTTAATAAGTTAATTAATTATTGAAAAGAGCCTAGTTAGTATTAGAGTTTACTATGATGCATAGCTTGTACCTTGTAATGAGGGAATAGGCCTAGCCTAATCTTGATTATTACCAAATTTTGGTAAGTGGAATCATTGATAGGACTTAAGCTAAGCTAATTTTATAATGATAGTTAAGTTAATAGTCCACTCCACTATTTAACATAAAAGAGCTGTAAATGAATGTCATTTGGACTGCAGGGCTCTGAGCTTATTACTCGAGTAATTTACAGCAGGGATTATAGGCCTAGAGAGGATATTGTTTGGGAATGGGCAGTTTTTTTACTTTTGACAAAAATTCTAAGTCTAATTCCAATCTCTGCAACACTAATTCCTCTAGTGACATTCCTGGTCATGGGTTTAAGAAAAGCTTTAAACAGTAGTTGATAACCTATATGTAAAATGCAAATACAAAGTCATCAACTGTATCCTTAGGCGGCTTCAAGGAGTGGCAGGAATTTGTTTACAACTTTAGAGCGTCTGTCAATCCTCTTTACTCACTTGTTTTGCTTTGAATAGACAGACCTCCTAAAACTTAGTAGTTGTTAATGGCATAGTTTTTAGTACAACGCTTACAAAGTAATATCCAGTTTGAACCCCTATGACTAACTGAAATAAGTTAAAGGCCACGAGGCTGTTTTGCATTACCCATTTCTGCAGTTAGTTTATATGGTTAATTTAACTTATTAGCTATTTTGGTTCAATGAGTACTACTACTTACAGTACCTGTTACAGTTTTTTATCAAGAGCTTTATTTGTCGTTTAGCTAACATAGGCCTAAGTATTTTAATCTCTGAATTACATTTTAATTTACCAAATACCAATAACTTTGAAATACTGTAGGTACCAATTAAGATAGAAACCCCACTTAGGTGTGCATTTAACCCAAATTTTTAAAAAATATGAAAAATAATGAAGTGAGAAGCCCTGTTACTTGACTAAGACCAGCTGTGGCTGTGCAGAGTTTTGATCCTTCTCAAAGCTAAACTACGGAATAATTTTTTTCTGGGTCAAACAGGTGACCTTTTGACTATGTTTGAGCACTTATAACCACTCACCTACCCAGCTATCTTAATTTAATGTCATATGTTACAGAATCCAAACTGCCTAAACATGGTGTTTTTCCGACTGCTTCAGACAAAATACTCAAGGATCAACTACTACTGCCCCTGTAATAGAATTAGTTCAAACTCAAACTCAATGCATCAAGAAAGCTTTCAAAAAATGAAAAAGTTTTGGGAAAATGAGAGATTGCTTACTACAAACTTAAAATATGAATCACTAAATGAAGAAGAAAAGATCATTCACGATCTACATCACGATGCAATAACTAAAGGTCATTTTACCTATTACGATCCAAAAACAAATGAGAGGATATTGACAAGATTAAGACACTATCTTAGAGGAAAATGCTGTGGAAATGCTTGCCGGCATGTAAGTTGTGTTTTTTAGTAGGCCTATCTTATTTAAATGTTTATATATCCTTTGAGACAATATCTTTGATGAACATAACTTTCAGACAGTAATTTTTAACTGTGGTAGATAAAATATAAAAATTAATATTGCATCACCATAGGTTGTTAAATGTACAATAGGCCTACTTCATGGCTTTTCTTAAAATGGAATTAACCTAGTACTATTCTTCAACGGTATAGGTATGGCGTCTTGACTTGAGTTTTCAAGTACCGGTAGGCCTTAAACAAATGCTTCTAAAACACTTTCAACGCCAACAAATTTGTTAAAATATGAAAAATGGACTCTCTCCAACGAAGAAATTTGCTGTTAATAAGAGTCAACATGGTACATTCCACTGTTGAAGGGGACAAGATGAAACCTGAGGTAGAACAACAAATTAAGATTCATGATAGATAGTTTTCTTGCTAACCAAACTTAAATTTGAAACAAATTAAATACACCTGAGTATTGCTAATTTGTAGGTCCGGCTGATCCAAATTAAGGTTACCGCATTTATATTAAAACCACAGGCTTTGTTTTCTGAAATACTAGCCAGGTTTTCAGCCTGCCAGAAAACTGAGAAAACAGGAATGTAATTGAATTTTGTTTAGAACGGGAAAATGTTGAATAATCACCAATAGCCTATGGCTTTATTCATAACAGTATTCTGTTAATTATTGTTAAAGGTCATCTTGTAGTAATAAGAATGTGATCTCGGAAGACAATCATAGGTGTTATATTACCATGAATACTTCTTCGACCGTTAAAGACAATTTACTGTGTGAATCTATCACGAGGTTGCCATGATTGTAGAAGCTGTAGATGGTCATTTATATGTCATAAAATTATGTGGTTTTAGTGTTCTGTTGCAATTTTACTGCATTTCAGATAATCCAAACAATTTGATAATTCAAACTGTGGTTAGTCTCGATTAGTTTGGATTAGCTGGACTCTAGTAAAGTTACTTTGCGGGTTTAAGCATTTACACAGTACTTACTTTTAATCTTCATTCACAGTTTGATATTAATATTTTCTTCTAAAATTGATGATAAATGTTTTATTTTCAGTGTGTTTATAACCATGATAATGTGATTGACGAGTACAAGCTGAAAGTTCGAAGACACAACACGTCTTTTTGGACCTATCCTGACGAAGTAAAAGAACCAGTGTTTGACGAATCTTGTTACTTTGACGGCTCTAATTTGAAATCCAAAAGAAACTACCCTTCGAGTGATGTAAAATTTAATTTTAGTAAAATATAAAAGTATTTTTTAATTTATATGATTAGGGACTGTCTAGTATCAACATGTTATGTTATATATCACTGATGTATTTGGTATTGGAGTGTTATATTTAAGAGAGATTGTCAGCGTTGTTAAAATGTTATGCTCTTTAGGTTAAAACTAACTAATTCAATTTATCAACAAATTAATCTTAGAAAACTAATTTAATTGTGATGCTAGAATTTTGGACCTGGTTACTGTTTTACAAAGCTATTGCAATAAAGATTTATAATGATAACTGAAATTACATTTAAGACCAAATAAAAATAACCGAAACAATAAACTTCAGCATTAATTTAAATTTGGAGAATCAGTTGTAGGTAACAAGAAAGGAATTAATAAGATCATCAAATTACAAAGTGTACTATCTTTATTATGAGCCTGGATTATTCAGATACTTGACAATATCTAACATTTGCATTTTATAGACTTATATTACAAAATTTACCTTTAGGTCTACACATTTGTAGAAACGTGTGCTCAGTATGATCATTTAACATATTTGCATATCCACAATAATTAAAAAGATTGCTTCAGTTATCACATTTTGTAATTTATCTAGGTGTTACGTTTTTTGTGTACATCAAGGCATTTTATATAGAGGTGTCACATGCTTTTAAAATAAAGTAAAATCCAAACCCCTCAAATGTTTATGGATATGTTTGGAATAGCCAGTAGGCCTATCTCTTGCACCTAAGTTTGAACACAGAAAACATACTACTATAACCCAGAATGCCAACTGCATGGTAAAAAGCGTTAAGTACTTTGAGAGAGCTTTGCCTGTCAATTCGTAGGCGGCGCCACCAGCGTTGCTATGCTGTGGTTGGCATTCTGGGTTATAGCAGTGTGTTTTCTGTGGTTTGAAGCACTAATTTCTGAACAGTGAATAGATAACACATCCAAATAGTCGCTGATTACAAAATGTCTGCCCTGCAGGACAAATCACCACACTTTTATTAAATGCATAAGTCTTGAATCTTTTAAATCATCTCCAAACGTCATGGCAAGAGTCGATTTACTTCTCAAGTACACCATATAATATTTGTAAAATAAATTATAAAATTAAATTGGCTAGTTTGGACAATCATCTTTAATGATGCTGCCTTAATGTAGACCCAATTACCATCAAGGTCTATATTGGTAGAAAGTTGATTATTTGAAAAGGAAATTTTCACTTTTCAACCTAACCTAACAACTGAAGCAATCTGATTAAGCATATTTCAGTACATTCACATTCTATAGTAAGTTTTTTTTTACTTCTTTAGTGTCAGGTGGTACATTTTCTTCTCCTCATCCGTTATATCACATGGAGCCCCACTGAGGGGGTCCTTGCCGTCAACTCCTTTCGGAAAAGCAATAACGTCTCGGATACTTGATGTTCCAGTCATGACTGACAATAAACGGTCCATGCCTGTAAAACAAACTCTTGTAGGATATGTTTGGTACAGCGTAATGGTTATTGCAGATGCATAGTGGGCTGTAACTGATCCACCAATTGTATCCAGAGGAAAGGTTCAAAACACAACCTTATTTTCTATAATTTTTCATCTCACTTTCAACTATTTGTTCAGTAATGATGTTGGGCTAGAAAGATTAATTGTAAAATAGGAAAATTAAATTGAGCTATGTTGATGATAGAATAATAACCTGGCACAAAAACTATTGTACTATATAGCATTATTTTTCATATAAATGGCTTATAAAATTTACAATCGTGATCTCCCTTTGTGGAGACTATTTCTTGTATTTGTTCCAGTATAAGAACTGTTTTAGACATATATTTTTTTTTAAATTAACAATTTTAATTTATTTGTTTGGATCAAGCTAGATAAGTGGCTTTACCACATGCTCCACGTGACACAACGGAATTCCTAGATTATGCACTGAATCGGGCTGTGATTTTTAATTACATCAACGGAAACAAATGTACCATTTGATTGCGGCATTTAAGAATAAGTTTGAAAGAACTGCTTTTATACAATTAACCATCTGGACACAATTTTTCATTTGTCTAAAGGCTCGAGGCCTGTGTGGGCAGGCAAATGCAAGGTTAAGAGGCTTTTAGTAGATAGAAAGCATACTTTTAGCAACAGGACTCCTGACGAAATAATTTTTTTTAAACTAGGGAATATGTAAACCTTGAAAGAAAAAATTACCGAGTGCTATTCCGCCATGGGGAGGAGCCCCTGATCTAAGGGCCTCTAGTAAGTGTTCTAAACTGTCAGTAGGGATGTTGAGGATGTCTTGTAGCACTTTGGTCTGCAACTCTGCGTCATGGATACGAACTGAACCTCCACCGACCTCGTAGCCATTCAACACCAGGTCAAAATGGAGACCTCGCACCTGTAACGAAAAGGCTAAATATTTGTGATTTTAACTTGCAATATGTAAAATAAATGTCTTTGATAGTATTTTCCTTTTCATTTCTGAACGATAATCATAATATAGAGCTATTCAAAAATATTGACCTGTATCATGACTTTGTATCCCAAAAAGTGTAAATCGGGTAAGTCATTAACGTTACACTAATAAAAAGAGGAAATTTCAAAGTTTTTTTTTACTATAGTATGGCTTAAAAGTCATCGCAACAATGTGCAGCCATTTTGATTTACCATCAGTTGTTAGTAAGATGATACTGGGCAAATTTAATATTTTTATTTTACTTTTGAAGTTGCAATGTAAAAATGAAAATTGAATGCACTAACCTTAGTCAAATTTTCTAAGCAACTGGGACTGTCTGGGAGAAAAAATTGTTTGATTTTTTTCAGACCCGCCCCTCCCTCCCAGCACTACAAAAGACCCCCTTGTAGGAGAAGAGACGACTCTACACGGGTTTGTTTTGTCAGACTCGCACCGTCAGACCTACACTGACTGTCAACATAGACTGACCAACACAAGTAGACTTCTCATCCCATTGTAAATTTTGAAGCTCGTTTATCATGTCCGGTGACACTGATTACTAGTGTCAAAATTTTGTTTCTGTTATTTTAGGGTTAACCGTCATTTTTCCTCATACAAAGGTCGGTAATATCGAGATTTGTGCTTTACTGTTTGGTTATATGACTAGGATACAAGTTATTGTTTATGATTAGATCGTTTTATTCAGTTAAACGAGATTTTAAGGTACTGAAATAACAAGACACAAATTGTAAGCAAAACACGACCTCTACCGTGCACCGGTCAGAACTAACAATAAAATTGTCTTCAGCTGATACATAAGGATGAGAAATATACCATGGGAGTATGTTTAATTTATGCCGCGGCAAGTCCGCTTCCAATATAGAACCTGCCTAAGGCAACTTACTCATACGGAAATACTGTTTATTTTAACGACTGACACAGCAACAGATAAGATATTTTTACTCAAAATAAATTGCAAACCTTTAAGGGATCTGAGTCTAAAAGGTGCTTGTCACTTTCAAAAGGCGCAGTGAAAGGATGATGAGCTGCTTCTAGTGACCCGTCGTCTCCCTCCAGAAATAGGGGAAAGTCCACAATCCAGGCAAAGTGGAAATCTGTCGTTGGGTTACTGAAGACATCCTGTCTTAGCTTACCCATCAGAGGGAGCTGTAAAAAAATTCACTTTTTCTGGTTCCTGAATCAAAACAAATTAAACGTAGCTGAATGAGCCACTCCTAGAGTATGTTACTGTCTAAATTCTGTTTTCTCCCTTGGTTTTTGTAACTGAGATACAGTAGTTCATGCGACATTAAAAATGCTATAGTTAACAATAAATCATTTCAACATGTGGCAATTTCAACAAAAATCTGTAATTTGCATAAGCACTGTCAAAGGCTCTATTCAAGTACGTCTGTTTTTTATTCTAAAAATGGCAACAACTTTAACATCAGGGATGCTTTGTCCATCTCTATCAATAGTCAAGGATTGAACATAATGATTCATGACTGTCATAAATCAGCTATGGCAAGTTTATTTTATGTTTGTTTATTTAGAGTAACACCTGATCAAACCAATGTCTTCCATTATTTCTCGATAGTTTAAGAAAACTACCGTTTGACTTCAGGTATTACTTTATAGCTAAGGGAAAATAATAACGCTGGCTATGAGCGCATTAATGAGTATATTAGAGAGAGATTGTTGAACTGATAGTACATCTCCTAAAACTGTCGCAACAGAGTATTCGAGGTATCTTACCTCGCAACGGTGAGGTAAGATACCTCAAATACTCTCACAATTTTCTCAACCCTTGACACTGTCTTGTTAGACTGTGTTTCCAGTTTGAAACAAGGAGAACACTAAATTAATACTAAGGAGTTTATCACAAAACTTACTAAAACACTCTCCTTTCCGATCCCTACAACAACACAGTCCTGGGGCTGCAGCTGAAGGGTATCTTTCAGTTCGGAGATCTGGACGAACGGCAAAGCACTGGCCAGCTCTTGATCAATATTGTCTGAATACTTCACCTGTATTAACTTGGCTTTGTCACTTCCCTTTTCTTTCAGTTGATTTTTACACTCTTGGAATGAACTTTTTAACTTGGACATCTGAAAACAAGTTATTACTGAGAATGAAAAATTCTGTATTTAATCAGGAAAAGTTATGGCAAATAGCTCCTTACACTTAATCAGTTAATAATAACACATGGAAAGATTGGTACCGGAGTACTTCTGATTATTTGAACGCATAAATTAAACTACCAATTAGGATCCACCATAAAACTAGAATGCGTGGTATTCTATAACTTACATTATTTGGGCTGAAAACTAAAGCTTTGGCAGTGAAGTTCTTGACATCTTTCAAATTTCGTTCTAACGATTCCTTATGTTCTTCTAATATTAAGTGGCCAATGTCTACAAGCTGTAAAAAAGACAGTTTGACATTAAAAATCTGAGAAATCTTTCAAGGGTCCTTTGATTAAAATATGCATATACAATTTCTTATAATTTTGATTTAAGATTCCAACCCACTATTGCAACAGTATATATATATATATATGCACTATGATTTATAATCGTACAAGACTTTCAAAGCATGTAATGAGTGACTTTTCCGCTCCTTTGAAACAAATCTGTTGGCAGCTTGACTCTTCTTAACAATTCCTAACGACTGAAAAATTGTATAGAACTCACTGATGCAATGAATCAATTATGCCGTTGACTATTGATACAACGAACTAGACATGTCTTTTTCATGCTAAATCAACTATCATAAGTTAGTTTCAAATGTAAGGGAAAATAGAATAGAGTGTGACATTCTTTAGATGGAATGTCTACTTTAAGGTTTTTTTTTTATCTCCCACCTTTGCATCATAGAACGTAGGCTCTAGCTCAGATCCATTCTACACATTACTTCAGGCCTAGAGGGATGTGGCATTATCACATAGATAAAATCCAATGGTGACTGGCAGGATTTGAACCCGGGACCAAAGCCCCATGCTCTATCACTAGACCTGCTCACTCCTCGATGTCTACTTCAGTAAGTTATACCTTATTGTCAAAGCTGAGATCAGGTTTGTCGCTGCCGTAAAGATGCATCGCGTCGTGATACGTCAGTACACGGAAGGGTGTTTGAAGTGGTGGAAGATCCTGTGGCCAACTAGCTCTCAGCAAATCCGTGATCAAACTCAAGATGTCGTCCCTGCTGGTAAACGAAAGCTCAATGTCCATCTGGAAGAAACCTTTTTCATCAATAAGTATTTTGCTGCCACATTTGTTAAATTCATTTTCAAAGCATTATTGTTTTGTGACATTTTTGTTAAAAACACATTACTGTATCCCGTTTATGGCGAAGGAGAGTTTGTTCCTCAATAAATTTAATCCTTGATAAAGATGCTTGACACAACACCCTTAAGCCAAAGCCAAATTTACTCAAAAAAATAAATCAAATTAGGCTACATCTGTTTCAGAATTGCAACAAGGAAACTGTGAAATACAATTGGTGTATCTTTTTATGAAACTATTCAAGCAATTATTTTAATTTTTACACACTTCAAATTAAGTCCAGTATACCGCCTGCCGTTTCTAAGCATATTATCATAGACTAATCAACACTAAAGGAGTATGTTTTATCTATGATATTATAACCAGATAATTTCAAGATTAAAAGGAGATTAGCTTATCTGATAAAACTCTACATTATTTTGAACATTAGTAACAAATCAAAATTATATATGCTGCACCGTTTTTTTTTTTTTTTTGTTTTTTTTTACTGAAATTGATTACAGACTACAGCCTTGATCATTGGGCGTTCACTAAATGGCCCTGGCTCAAGAACTTGCTGGTTTTATTCAGTAACAACGGTGTCATCAGGTGTGTACACCATAAATAAAAAATAATTATGGATCTGGGCACCAGATTATTTTAATTAAATTCGGGTAAAAAAATTAGGTCAAGTGAAAATTGACTAGCTTTGGAAAGTATTGATGAGAAAATATTAATTGTAATAATACAATCGTTCACACATAATAGTATACATGATTTCCCCCATATCATGGTGAATTCGTTATAATTTTTTGCTGACAAGACAAAATATGAAAGCAACGTCTTATGCGGTCTTGTAAAAAATTGCAACCGTTTTCAGCAGTTTCTGTGAAATTGTGAACATATTCTAAGGTCAATCCGAAATCGTGAACATCTTATGCGGTCTTTGCATGATCGTGAAATTCTTCTACTACAACATCTAAATCGTCTCCCAAGCTCGCAGCAAAACAATGATTGCGAAAAAATCATAAATTTTCTATTGTGCGCCTTCATGGGCCCTTTCTGCAATTGCAAAAATGAAAACTAGACCCAACCTGACCCAAAAATTATTTCCCGCCTGAACCGATCCCTAGCAGACCTGCAGACCCCTACCTGAGTAAACTCCGGCTGTCTGTCTGGCCTAGCTCCCTCGTCCCTGTAGCACCTGGCTACCTGGAAGTATCTGTCCATTGCTCCCACCATCAACAGCTGCTTCAGTTGCTGAGGACTCTGGACTAAGGAGTAAAACTTGTCCTGCTGTCTTGTAGGTACTACATACTCTTGAGCTCCCTGCAACATGGATAGTCGGCATATAGATCACAAGCTGACAATTTACAAGGGGGAAATAATACTATGAAATGTTAAAGGGTATTTTATTACACAGCCTTTAATTACTTTTAATATTCAATTTCTTTCCCCATTGCAATTCACACTATTTAGCCTCACCAAGAATCTGTCTCCCCTTCTTCCAACCCTGTGCATCCCTGTTTTTAACACTCTGATATCATTGAATATTTAATTTTTCAACCTCTTCTTGGGGGTTTTGAGGGGATTCTGTTCCATCCTGGTTTTCCAACCATGTCTGTTACTCTTACTTATTATGTGTAGTTTGTCTCAAAAATAAGCTTTTTGCTTCAGTGATGGGTAACAAAACTGTAAGATGAACTGTGTGTTAGAACTCCTACGTAACTCATTGAATCATGTGAGGAGAATTTTAATTTTAATAATGTATTACTTAAGTGAGAACCTGCTTGCAAATAGTTGCACAAGTAGGGAAATACAAAAATCATGTACACACTACACTCTTGGCTGGATGAATATAAACAATAAGCATCCATGAAACTCCTACCACTCACAATCTTTTACTACGCTTTCCCCACTAAAATGATCTGAAAATCTCCCTTGATCACACCAAACATAAAAAAAAACTTGTACCAATCTATCAACCACAAGATTCCAATCTTGTGTTTCTAATATGAAACCAGCAATTTCAAAAACTAAACGACAATAAAAGTACTCACTCCTGGTGTGCGTCTAAACAGCGTTGGAGTCTCCACCTCCACAAAGCCTCGTTGGTTGATGAGGAACTCTCTCATCCTCATGAGCACCTGAGACCTGAGTCTCAACCTGCGCTGCAAGTCCGCGTACCTCAGGTCCAGGTAGCGATACCTCATACGCATCGGCTCCTTAGGCTGCACACTCAAACATACGTCAGTTCCTTTGTGATAAAATATTGAGTCATCATAAAAAATAATTTGATACAGTTTCAGTTTAGGTTTTTATGGACATTTTGGAATTTACCGGCAATACATAATATTTGGATTCTGAACGAATAATGAAGAAATGTAGGGTGATACAGTATATGTCTTATTCAATGATCCCAAAAAGAGGAAATTTTGCAAGAATTAATTGATTGTTCTAAGAAATTAGCTCTTCAGTAATAAAAATAACTAATCAAAGCTAAATTGACCAAACTGGCAGAAAAAAGTAGCATCCCTCCCAAATTTCAATCACAATACATAAACATCTACAGTATAATGTATTATAGGCATTTATTTACCAATTGTTAAAATGTTTAAATGTTTAATTGAAATACAGTATATAAAAAGAACTATTAATAAGTCTTTGAGTTTGTAAAGTTTTACATCTGATCTAAGTTTTGCCTGGATGAGATGCGAGGCCAGCTGGAACCTTATAGGAAGCTATATCTACAGGATCGTGGGAGAGAAAATGGAAGATCTGATATTTTGAGACTATATGCTAACCAACAAGTGATACCGAAAGCGAAAGGTAATCCCACGGTCAAAGAAGAGACGAGAAGAGGGGTTGTTTTTAGTGGGTCGTCAGGAAGAAGGTGGGAAAGGTTTCCTACGTATACCCTTAGGGTGCCTTACAGAATCTGCCTACAGATTTTTCCCTCTCCAAAAACGAGGTAGAAAATAAATTCATTATAAACAATTGACATTCAAAATCATTAATTTTACAGATCACACATGTAAATACCTTGTACAAAAATACCTTGTTATGGTCTCTGATCACAAAAGGCAGATCTGTCTTGGCAGGGTTCAACACTATGTACTCTTTGACAACGACTTCCACTTCACCAGTGCCTTGTAACTGAAAAAGAAACTCATTAGCCACAATAAAGAGAGAAATAATATACCTACGTACATAATACCATGACTGACCAAATGTATCTCATAAATTTAAATGTACAACAGAGTAAAATTACATAAAAGAACGTAAATATGGTAGTCGGAACATTTTAAAGACATGTTCTAAAACCAATGTGCATCGCCCAACACTCTTAATGCTACTTTTGAAGTACCGATTTCAGGGACATCTGACCATCCTGCAAGGCATCCAATTTTATAGTGACGTAAATTTGACATGAGGACCTAGTTAATAATTATTTTCTATTCAAATATCACATTTGTCCACTGCATCTTCAAGTCTCTTTTGACAGTAAATATTTTATACGCTCCCAGAAAGTATGTATTAATATTGTAAATAATTTCATCTGCGAAGAACTTATAATTGCTTCTCTTTAAACTTCAATTTTTCTCCTAGGGATTTACTGAAAATCTCTATCACTTTTATGTTCCGTGGTTTTATTCTAAGATTAACTGTAAGAAAGGACATGTTTTTTTAAATATTTATCAACAATAGAGGATTAGAATTCAATTTAATTACCTTACCTTTGTTATTTGATTAGGTGGACGGGCGCTCACAGTTCCAATAACTTTGATAACACTTTCCAACGATGTTTGGCCCAACTTCTTCCCCAGAGTTCCTTCCAGCTACAATAATTAAGTTGGTTCAAATAAAAAGAAATGGATGGTTAGGCAAATAAAATATCAACAAAATACCCTGCAAAACTTACACTTGGGTCTGCTAATACAATCAACAAAAATACAATCATGTTATTTTTTACAATAAACCAGTTTAAAAAAAAATGTGTAGGCCTACACAATTTGCAAAGTTGTGTTCCACAATAGGTATTTAAAACGTAACTGTTTTAAGTCTACAAGAATTTTGATTTTACAGATAATTTCTAAACTTAGTCGCTTTTTTTTACCATGCTAACAATTATTCAATGCTTTTTAACAACATATTCATCAGAAACAAGAGTAGATTTTAATTGTTTTAATTTAAACATAAACAAATTTAACCAACAAAATTGTTATCAAGAGATTTACATATGTAGGCAGACCTACCATCCACCGCAAAAGAAGACAACTAACCTCTGTTGGAATCAAGATCTGAGTTTTCCCGTGACCGTCACGCAGAGTTCCGAACCGGTTGCCTCGCTGACTGTCAAGCCAACCACACAACGTGACCTCAGCTCCTACGTGACTGCTTCTCAGTTGACCACATGTGTGACTGCGGCCTGTGTAGCTGTTAACATCTCCTGAGGACAACAAAATAAGTAAATAAACATTGAAAACTACAGTTTGAAAATCAAAACTGAACTGACAAGGTATAAAATACTTTAAACATTGAAAAACACGTGCTAAAAATATCCTTAAATACTTTAATCTGAAATGGCGATCATACATTGTAGGTTTTTTAAGTCAAAGTAGGAATGGAGATGAGTGATTTTGTAGTCTGCAACATAACATGAAGGAAATATGTCATGGGAAAACACTTATGGTCAGGATAATTTAATCTCTAGGATTTCCCAATCCAAATGTTTGTACCACACTGACAACGGTACGGCACTCACTAGAAACAAACATTGTTAATTTTTCAACTTGAGATGCTCTTACAGCAGGCTTGTACTATTACTATTGGAAATGCATGTACTTTTATACTTTATACTTTCTAATGAAATGGCGACCATACTATGTAGGTATTTTAAGCCAAGTATGAATGGAGATGAGTGTAGGATGAGTGGCGCGATCTTGTAGTCTTGTTAGTGACTAAGGCCGACATTCCTTAGACACAGCTGTTAATTAATAGCCCAAACAGCCAATGGCAACTAAGGGACCTACAGTTTATAGTGGAATCCGAACCACATTTTTTCCTTGGTATATACGAATTGGTCTAATTATCAGGATAGTACTGCGGATAGTAAGTAGTACTCACTAGTGCGGACGTTAATCCACACCAGGGAGTATCCCATCCACAGTGCATGCCTATAAATATCCACAATCCGTGACCTCCAAGTAGCTGGATTACAGGACGACGCCACCCGTCCCAGTCGTAGGATAGGCCTACGCATAAATTAATTAAAAGGTGATTGTCCGCACCAATTAAAGTAGCATTTGGACCTTGGTAAAGAATTCCTTACCTTCGTAACTGTTCTCCAAGGTAGTTTTCCTGAAGTAAGGACTGGAACTGGTAGATATCATGCCATAACCTTCTCTTCGAAATATTGCTTTACTGCACTTGTTAATATTCAAAACTGAAAATTAGACCGTATGAATTGGACAGATTAACTTAAATATCATATTGGTATTAATACAAAATTTCTTTAAATTTTATAAGACATAACTTAGTCTAAAATTATAATTTGTTCACTCATGAGAAGGGGAATCTCATGAGAAGGGAAATAGAGAGATCTTTTTACCTCCACCCGAAAGACAATTTTTGTTCTTTTACAGCCTACTTAATTTATTATTTTAATACACCTATAAGGTAAAGTGAGATTTCAACCGGAGCCTTTAATACCTAAGACCTGCACTCTTCTCAAAAATGATGATGGCAATTCAATCGTAACAGGGCTCAATGTACTAAGTTTAAGTTATCCTAACTTAGTGTTCTTCTTAACCTTCATTGTCTAGTAGGTTTTTCATTTAATCCTCTAGCTACACCTTAAGCAAATTATAAAGACATTGACCGGGTACAGTTCCGCATGGATCCTACGATATATTATACCGTAGTCATATTCAATACACATAACCTACAATTGATATTTAAGTAGGCCCTAAGTAAACTATTGTGTAAAAGCTATATCCGAAACAATATAATTAGGTAGGCTATAAGGTATATCATTGACTTTATATCTACACTGTAGTAGATATGTACTACTGTGTAGATATAAAGTCAATGGTTATATCTTATAGGTATAGCCTATTGAAACAATTTTTCATACAATAAAAATATATCGTAGGTTCTCTGTGAAACTGTAGGCCTACCCCATTAAGTATAGGTATTAAAGACTAAAAAATACCAACGATCAATAGTTTTATAGCTTATTAGTTTTGACCGATGGAAGCCCATTTAACTTACCCCCCCCCCCCCCTTTGGTTCCAGTTCTAAAACAGATTATATAAACGAGTTCTTACAGTTGGATTCTGTATTTTTCGCTCAGGCCTACAGATTATCAACATGTAAGTTACATTTCAGACAACATAAGTTTTAAACTTACCTTTGGCCTACTAAGTTAACTGACTAAGAAAATATTCAGTTGCCCAAAAAATTCACACTACAGTAGGCTAGGGACTAGTATAAAATTTTATTTAATCAGGCCGGAAGTGGATTTTAGAACAAATTCACAAACTTATAAATGACACATAAAATCTTAATAAACTGGGGTACACTTCCATCCATTTCCGTTGGCACAAACAACCGAATGAAAATATCGATCAATATATCGATTATTCGATATATCGTTCAGTTGGTTAGGTAAAGTTAGCCTAACCTAAGTTAACTAACCAAAAGATATATCGAATTAAACAATCGAACAATCAATATTACTCATTCGGTTGTTTGTGCCTCAGATATGGAAGTGTACCCATAATCTGTATTGTTGAAAAACAAAAATAAACTAGAATGTTCACAGCGAGGCCCCTAGGCTCAGTCAAAAAATAACTTAGATAACTTAAGCAATTTTGTTATTTGAAAAAAGTACGCCTACCTGACTTTATAGCATGATCCACTAGTCTAATGTAGTTTTGGTGCCCAGATAATTTCAATATGAAAGATGACATTTTAGAAGATTGCATTTAGGCCTAATTGTGATGTGAGACTAAATACCTTTAAAATAAATTTTTAGTTTAACTAGGATTTGTGTAATCATTTGATGTTACTTATCTACGGGTTTTGAACATTTATCTGACAAAAACTGTTAATAACTGTTTTTATTAAGATTATAACTAAACGTCAACACATTAGGCTAATTAAAGAAAAGATAAAACATTGTTATTGTTATTAGGTTATTGTTATTGTTGACATATCTACAGCAAAGCAGTAGACGCTATTTCAAAAGGGATTTTTTCAAGTTTCTTGTCATCAGTATAGCCAACAACGATTGACGAATTAGTGTTGTTGACATCATTGCTATAGCGTAAGTTATAAACTTAAATGTTATAAATATTTAAAATTGTAAATATATTTTATAGCGTTCTTTTAAATCATATACATTTTATGTGATTTCCTTCATTGCTGGAAAACACATTAACATCAATGGCACATTATTCATGTGCATAAATTTAAAAAAATACCCATAACCTTAAACACAACCCATATCTTTACAACCTAAGAGAAAATGGTGTGCAGAATAAAAACTCTTTTCTGTTGAAACGATTTTAAGTTAGGTAATGTTTGAACACATAAATATTACCATATATTAATTATAGCCTACGTTGATTATTTTATGCTATCTCCGTGTCGTGTTAGTGTATGATATCACCATAGATAAAACATGTGATATCACATATACGACCTGAGCTTATCGGGAAAGGGATTTAAACGGTGGAATTATAGCAAACTAGGAAGTATGACGGTATGGGATATTTAGATAGGTTTTTTTCCTATTATTGTACTTTTAGATTGAGGAATAAAAGTTAAAAAAAACCTGAATGCTCAACTTCATTATGTGTTCTCTTTAATATGTCATAGTAAAAATATAGTTGGCGTTCTTGTTCAATTAATCGATTTGGTATTCAAAGGTTATGAACTCTGGGCTAGGCAACTTATGCTCCTTTTGTATTTCAATAGTTTTAATAAACACACAAAATGTACTGAATCAAAACAACTCAAAATCTATTGCTCATTATTATGATAACATCAGATTAATCAATTTACGGTACCCATACCCATTACCCAATCACCTTAAAATAACACTGCGAATGGTGAGTGGTGACAGTATATCATTTTTCAGGAATACATTTTAACTACTAAAAATGAAAGTTAAAGTCATCAAATTAACTAATTTATGTGCAAATTCTATTCTGAATCAAAGTGTATAGGTACGTTTTTATGTTGAATTTCTAATAATGTGCACTTAGTAGACCAATAGCATATTAATCGGTAAGAACCTATTTTGTTTTTTGTAAAATAGCTTGATTTTATCTTTGATAAATTACTTCCTATATAGTTTCTTTACTTAATTATTTACACAAAAAATAATTGGCTAGTCTATTCCACTTTATTGAACGAATTTATGGCGATTTACTTATCGAGCTTGAAACTGGAGCAAATCTTTTCAGGTACTGTATATAGGATCGAAATTGTTTAGTACTTGTTCAACGATAATGTTAGTGATAACATTTAATATTACTTTTATTAATGTGTGACATGTGGATAGCTAATCTTGTTTAGCTGTTTGTGTTTTGAACTTTTCGCATTTCCCGCCAAAAATCAAACATAACCAATCAGAGAACGATATCGTCTCCTCTGCGCAAAGGATTTCAGCTGTTAGAATTGACAACTCTGATTGGCTTGCTTGCTTCTGCTAGGTTAGGTTAGGTAGTCAACACAATGGAAGTTGTTGATCTCAATCTTTCTACAATTTGTAGACTTTGCGCTGAAAATAATCCAAATGGAGTTCTTTTGTTCGACGAAAATTCAACTGATGGGGACCTTGGATCTTTCATCAACATGTACCTCCCTTTCAAGGTATTATAATATTTTAAGATTGTAAAAGTGTACAACTTGACTTACTCTGAAAACAAAATGGAGCTTTTACTGATCAACGTTGCACCTGTGTATCTTGGGCTACAACTCTAATCAATTTCTACCTATTCTTGTTTTGAATAATCATAGTAAATCAGTATTTTCAATGGAAACTTTAAATGAATATGAAATATATCTCTGATTAATCTAGCTTGATTTTACACTTTTCACCTAGCCTAGTTCTATTCTGACGGTGGTCTTCAATTTTTATCCCGTCAAGCAAGGAGCCTAGCAGACAGGCACTATCAATATAAATCAAGAGGGAAATTCAAATCCATTTGTAGAAGGACGAAATTGTCATATGGCACTTAAAATGCAAGTTTTAATCGTGACAAAGTAAAATGCTCAAAACCCTAATTTTAGCAAAGGAAATATTAATTGAATTAACAATTAACGTTTTGTATATTAGACATAGCATATTACTGTAATGTATAATGGCTGAATAAGTTAAGTTAAACTTAAACAATTTGAAATTATTTGAAATCAAGTGGTTCTCCCTGCCCGGGACCGGTTTTCGACAGCCCGGACCAAACCGCCGAACCTCATCACCACAATCGTACCCTACCCCTAAACCATATCTGGGATCGTGTTACACAAATTACCATTTCCCATCACCTTTTCTCATGAGGGCTTTGGACCTCCAATGGCAGGTTTAAAATGGTTTGCTGGCTAGGTAGCCGTTGTCAAAGATCTATTTACAATAGTAGGCCTATAGGCCTAGTCCAAAATAATTATATGTACAGAAGAAGACATTATTTACATTTTTTTTCGTTTTACACGAGATTACTCATCGGAATAATCACTGTCTGAGTATTCTGTGGAGCTACCATTCAAGTTTATTGTTTATCTCAAACATGAGTACCTATCTATACTTTTTGACCCGACAGTAGGCCCTTTACATACAGCAGCTATATTGTACATTTTGGTCCTGAAAACTTTCAAGACATTTTCTGTGATTGCATTATCAGAACTGCTATTCATACCCAACAAATTTCAAAACTATTCAAATCCACACATTAAAACTATAAAGTAATCAAGTATTTTATTAGGTAGTCGTTGAATAATCTCTGATTACAATAGACCTCGTCAGAAACACATTATATAGGCTACTCAATAGCTATATAGGCCTATTATCACAGTCACGTTTAGGCTATATCACAGACATTCCCTACCATAAATAAATAGTTGTACAGTTAAATAAATAAAAATACATGCAAAGAGTTAAAAATAAATAGGCCTAATCCTAATAAATATATTGTAACCAGTGTCATAATAATTTCCCAAGCAATTATTGTTTTTCTTTTTTCCGATATTTAGAATAAACTCAGCGTTTGAACTTTTAGAATTGGAAGCCTGAAAATTCTTAGTTTAATGCTAAGAACACGATAATCACGTTGAATTGTGAATATTGAAAATATTTTAATATACAGTACCGTACTGCCCTGTCCCTTGCTATTCTGGTGCTCACCCGAACGTTCAGGAGTTGAAAAATTAAAGGTCCTGATAAAATAACACATTTTTAGTATTTCGTGTATTCCCACGCTCTTCCAAAATCGCTCCTGCCACCCATGGTGACCCACGGTAATGACTGTTATAGGTGCAGAGCGATGGAAAACTGCCTCAAACAATTTGTCCTGGTTGCAATATTCAAGTACAAGCAACTGTGCAGTTCTTTGATCTGGTTATTGAAGGACAGAAGAAAATCCGGGAAATGTGGAAGCAACAGGTAATTAATTACATAAGAAAAATATAAATCAAGATGAGTGTAACATGATGGAGAGAGATGATTCACTAACATGAATGAATCAATAAACACATAGGTAAATAATGTAAAGATATTACGACCTTTTTTTAATCACATTGTGGTGGTTTAGCAGCCGCTGGAATTTACAAATGTTATAAATATGATTTTAAATAGAGTAGCCTATATTGATAGCTTGTGTTGACTCATCATCTTGGTTTTGCACATTAGCTACCGTCTACTAAGTTAGCTACTGTCTACCTGTATTACTCATGTTAGACACATTAGTTTTGAAAATTAGAGTTAAGCATTAACTGTACACTAATCTTGTTCCAATATTATTTGTGTACATTTAATAATTAATATTACTCTCCTGTGATTTTACTGTTAAAAATTTCAACCACTGTAACCTCAATGTGTGGTATTGAATGCTGACTATCCTATCATCTATGTATGTCAATCAATCAATCAATCAATCAATCAAATCACTTTATTTGTCCTTGTACATGTCATTACAAGAAATGGCGTCAAATATAAAACTAAAAAATAATACAATTATAAATTTAAAAAAAAAAAACTACCACTACTGCTTCATAATTTTGTTGTATTCATAAAATTCCTCTATTGAGTAAATGGGTTTGTTGATCAAATATATTTTCAATTTACATTTTAGTTTGTTATTATTTTTTTCTGATCTTAGTTCATTCGGAAGTGCTTTAAAGAATTTATTGCCAATGTATGTCGTCTTTTTTTTGAAAAATTCCAATCTATGTTTTTCAAAATGTTTTTCGGTCTGTCTTCTTGTGTTATATTGATGACCTATTGGTTGTACATAAGTTTTTGTTATAAAAAATAAGATACATTCAAAAATATACAGACCATACACAGTTAAAATTTTAAGATTTTTGAAGTGTTCTCTTGCGGAGTCATCATCTTCAAGTTTGAGCATACATCTAATTGCTTTTTTCTGTAGGTTTAGAATTGTATTCAGATTATTTATTGTTGTTGCACCATACAAGCCAATTCCATAAGAAATATTAGAGTGAATCAGAGCAAAATATATTTGTTTTAGTACAGGCAATGAGCATAGGCTGGCCATACGCCTTAAGGCGAATAAACCGGAGTTAATTTTTCTCGATATATGTTCGACATGTTTGTCCCAGCATAAGTTTTCATCAATATATAGACCTAAAAATTTAGCCTCATCCACTTGTTCAATAATTTCCTCTTCAATCATTATATTTGGAGATATTTTTTTACGATTTTGCTTTGTGGAAAATGTAATAAATTTAGTTTTATTTGGATTTAACAAAAGACTATTATTATTGAAGTATTGCTTTATATTAGCTAGTTCTATAAAACTTAAATATTCAATTTCATTTTGGTTCTTTGCTGAGATTTTTAAATTTGCGTCGTCTGCATATAAACATAAATTACTATGGGGAACAGTCTGTAGCACTTTAGGAAGTCCGGTTATGTAACATAAGAACAGCAAAGGACCCA